TATTTATCAAATTCAACCTTGTTCTTGTAAAATAAACATAAACCATGTATATAAATCATGGTATTCCCATTTGATTTAATTTTAGATGGTTTTTTAAATCTACTTTAAAGATAAATTATTTAACCACTACTTTTATGATGAAAAGACAAAAATAATGCCTATTTGATTAAATGTTACCATATTTTTAAATACATTTGAATATCAAGAGGAGGGTGGGAGTTCCTAATTCACTTTCATCTTAACGAGTAGACAGTAATTCATAGACTTCAAAGAATAATTACTTGTTAGGCTAATTACAACCACTTAATGAGGTACTTATGTCCTCAACACCAATTATTTTCAGTGTATAAGGACAGGGGAGCGGGGCCTGAGCCGCCGAGTGCTGCTTTGCATTTAATTACGCTTAAAAATTAATTAATTTCTTTTTTGTGCGGAGTGACTCGGGTCGTGGGTCGCGGGTCTCGAGTCCCGAGTCTCGGGTCCCGAGACATAATCAAGCTGCCGCTGCCAAAGAGGACTTTTGTGGCGGCATCGCCGCCGACGCCTTAATGTATGCTACATTGCGGCCACTTTTATCTGCTTGGCATTATCCTTGTACTTGGATGGGTGGTTTTGGGTGGTTGGGTGGCTTTGGGTGGTTGGGTGGTGCGCACTTGTGTCTCTTAAATAATTCAACAAGCGCAGTTTCGCGGTCTCCAGCAACAACAACAGCAGCAGTAAAAACCAGAGAGTGGCAGGGCAAGTCAAGCATTGTTAAATGCCAAGGATAAATTCCCGGGTCTGGGTTAATCCGAACTGTTTGGTCACATTCACACTTACACACACAGAGGCGTAGCCACAAGTCCATTATCCTTCGACTTACAACGTTTTCGTATCGCTTTGATCCCTGATAATAACTCACTAAAACAATTACAAAGGGTAGAGAGAGGGCATAACTTTTGTGGAATACATTAAATTATAGCCCGCAAAGGAAGGAAAACGTTTTCAGTTTGGCATTCATTAATTAAATGGAAATCAGTCAATCAAGGGTAATGAGATGAATATTTTCTATTTTAGAAGTCCGTGACAATGAAAATGGTCGAGGAATGCTCTCTTATGGCAACAAAAAGTCCATTAAATAAATATTTTCAAATGGTTTTTTTTACATGGAAAGTTTTAAAATTTATTCAGAGATAGCGAAAATCAAAAAGGATTTATTTTAAAAATTATTTACAAAGAATGTTCTAGAATCTAAAGAATTTTAACAGAAATTTTTGGACAACAAATCAATAAATATTTGAAAAAAAAATATGAATATTCCAAAATTTAAAAATATTTAAATATAAAAAACTTTGAAAATATTCAAATATTTAGAACTTTGAAAATATTCAAAATAACTAAATATTTTAAATTATGAACCTGTGCTTAACTGAACTCTTAATTTTAAAATACTTATTAACTTGCCAGTGTAGATTGGAATTTTATAAAAATCCAATTTCTAGAATGCAACTCACCTGTAAGTAAAGAAAAATATTTGTATTATTTTTAAGACACATATATTATTCTGAATATACAAATTTAAATTACAAGTATTTTCATAAGGATTGTCACCCTAAATTCCTCACTTCTGCAAGCCAATCACAAAGTGGTTCTCTTTTCCAAATGCTTATGATTATTTATAGCTGAAAAGTGCATTTCGTTTAAAATTGTTTATAATTGGATTTCTCTCAGCTGTTGCCATTGCATTTTTGGACACAAAACAGAGATATATTTCCGAGAGTATTTCGCTGCTCGATGTGAAGCACAGGCTAAGCGGTTTATGAACTGAAATTGCAATAGCAAATTTTAATAACTCAGTGTGGTGCTGTCAAAAACAATAGAAGCAACTACAACGAGGCGAGCAAACAAACAAACAAACTGGGGAAAACCACAAGCTCAGGCAACAACAATTGACTCAATTTTAGCATTTTCAAGGTCGCCTGCAGTGGAGGCTGCAGTTGTTGTTGTTGTCTGTGGTAAGACTATAAAAAATGCACACTGGAAAATAAGATAGTTTACAAATACCCCTATAAATTTATCTCGTATCTTAATGTTACAATTTATGTTTGAGCTTTTCTAAACTAGTATAAACTAACATAAATGTGTTTTATGTTAGAAAACGTTTTTAAATTTAATTTAATCTATAATATAGCATAGAGAACTTATATTGAGCGGTCTAAAAATCGCACTATATTATTATTCAATCAAATGTTTAAAGGCTTTATACATTTTTGTATATGGCTAAACTACATTGAGCTTTCAAAAACACATTTAATTTTACCTTAAGTAGTTCATAAATCATTTTTTTTTACTAATCTCAGGTAATATCTATAGACTTCATCATCTCAATAGAATTTCGTTGTTCTCCAGCATAAATATCTATATACAACATTTTTGTTTACTGCACTTTACTCACTCAGTGTGCGTGAGATGTGTTTGGAAATTTTCGTTGTTTTCCCTTAGTTTATTTTTGGGCCACGAATTATGCAGTGAAGCGTAATGCTATTGAATATTTCACGATTGCAATGCCATAATATATAAAATACGGCTAACAGGGTGTAAGTGCAGCAATTTATTGCTACAATGTATTTCTTTGGATTGTACTGGGAAAACAGTGCGTATACTTAATATGAATGAAATTATCCAAAATTAGAAATATAACAAAAACCATATTATCCATTAACTTAACTTGATTGAGAAATATTATGCAGTCGAAATTATACAGGAAAAGCCTTTTGAATGATTTCTCATAAAATATAATTTTACAAAGAAATATTGTATTTATATCAAATTTTGTGATGAGCAAAATGGTTTACTTGCAAATGAAGGCTGAAAGGAAACTTTTACTCACAAAACATGCGCCTGACCTTCAGGTCATATAGTCATATCTGTTTGCTCAACTATAAATACGTGGAAAGCTAGAATTACAAATACCCAAAGATATGTATGCAGCCGTAAAAATATACGTGTTTGGATGAATGACTTTGGTTAAAAGCATTCCCCGTATATCGCATATATATACATATGTATGGTATATATTTCTCGCCCTTTTTTCGACTTTGGCTGCCTGCAAACGTAAATAAATGCCGAATAAAACACATGGCCGTTGGCCTTTTAACGCAGACATTTCACTGGGAGGCTGGGACAGGAAGCAATTTGTATGCGAGAGGGTGTGTGCCCAGGTGAACAGGTGAGAAGGTGAGCAGGTGGGCAGGTGGGCACCTGGGGTCACCTGCCAGGCGTCACAAAAATTAAAAGCGCCGAAAAAGTAGAGCAATAAAAATAAAGCATTTCGCTTGTATCTCATTCACTTTGATATGGACTTTAATATCATTGAAATTATAATGATGTGTGTTTTTATGTGAGACCATAAAAAAGGAAACGAATATCCAGACGGGCTCCAGGACTCAGGACACCCAAAAAAATATAAGAGCAAAACTTCAACGGTTGGTCACCTCAAATTCACCAGAAAAAAAAAATAGAGAAAAAAGTTGACCCTTTTTTACACACCTCCATCGAACCCAATCCAAATCCACCGAAAAAATGCGTTCACCTGGCCAATTTGTTATTTATGCCGCATTTACGTGTTGAATCTTTCTATATGCAAATACCTTAGCCTTGTGCGTGTGTAGATGGCTCTATTGCTCTATCGATCGAAACATTTTCGGCCTTTATTTATGCCAAAAGCGGAAACAGGAATTCGTTGGCTCAGGAGTGGGGAATGAAACAGTAAAGTGGGGAACAGCCAAAAACGGAAGTGATATAAATGGCTAAATGACTTTAGTTGGCAAGAGTTTTTTTTATTTTTTATCGAAGGCTATTTAAAGCAACAATGATGTTCTTTTAAAAATAATTGTAAGAAGAAAAATATTGTAAGAACATCACACCAAATACGTAGTTTAAATACAATAATGTCCAAGCTATAAAAAAGCTTATCAACATTAAGAATTCATTTTTAATTTTGGTAAATATTCATTTGTATCTGCAAAAAAAATTCAGTAGCTGTCCTCTTGTTCTTATTTCTATTTCTCATTTTTTTTCATTTTCCTTCCAAAACCTTACAGGTACTGAGGATCCAAATGAGGACAAAATACCCAACAAATTGGGTATCCAATATATGTATTTAAATATTTTTAAACCTTTTTACATTGAAATATTGTATTTAAATAAGTCATTTATAAAGATAATAAAACAATCTGTTGTTGGCTGGGGTGCCTTGCAGATATAGAAATCAAGATTGATGCAAGGCAGGGGAAATTTGAATTACTTATCGACTAAAGCAACCGATAATAAAAGAGGTCATCAGTGTAAAAGAAGCCAAACAATCCATTTCTATATTAAAGGTCATATTTGCATTACTCTTTTGATATTGCACTTACAAAATTTGCACAATTTAAGTTTAGAGCTCAAGTCAATACTTAATAATGTATATGGATATTACACAATCAATCAATCAATCAATCTTTATCAGTAGGTATCGAGAACTCATTTAAAAATATTAAAACAAGGGCTATTATCGTTTCAGTTGATAAATGAAAGCATAGATCTAAATGCTTAATATTGCATACTTTTCTTTATAGAATTATATTGGAGATATGTAAAATATAACTTCCAACAGCAATATTTTCCCTTTAAATTAGAAAACAGTACTTGGTTTAAATCAGAAAATGATTATGCTTTAAACTCTTCCTAAGTCAAACAACAAATTAAGACCCTTCAATATCTAAGAACACTTTATTCTCCCCTGATTTAAGCCAAGCACTTCTCTCGGGCAAATTCCCCTGTGTTTATTTGAGCTTCGAGTGGGTCGGTTAATTAGCCAACCACTGGGGTCGAGATGGGTTCATTGAAGTGCATATTTCAGGCCCAGCTGAGGCCACTCGATTCAATTAATTTCAACTGGCGAACAATGGAGGTCGCTTGCTAATTGGCCAGCCGGTCATTCAGTCCAGAGGTAAGGTAATCAAAACAACACACCAGCTAGAATCGCATTTACTTGGCTCAATAGTGGATGGATAGACCCACTTTCCAAAAGGAAAGATATGTGGGCACACACAGCTGCATCAATTAGGTGGCTGCCACAAATTTGTCTGCTTTTTGGAGGTGGATGTGGATGTGGCATTCAAATGGAAACCAACAATCACAATTTACAGAGGATACCGAGGACAGACAGGCAAATAAACCAACATTTACATTGGCTCCATGGAGGGGCACACAGAGGGCAAAGGGCAGAGGACAGAGGACACGAAGCTACGGAGACAGCGTCACTTAATCGAATTATGCAACAACATCAACAGATGACACAAGCCGAATGCAGCTGCAAATAACTACATTAACATATTCGATAACTTCATCAGCATATCCCCATCCCCGTCCCTATCACCAACCTCATCCATCTGCCGTCCTCTGACTGGATTTTAATTAAAATGCGCATATGGAATCCGCATCGGGGCAGGCCTGGCACTTCACAGACAGACAGCTCGGAAAATCGAATCTTTTAGACAAATTTCCTGAAAATACACCAGCCAGCGACGGAAAAACACAGACAGGATGCCGCAATCCAGAGTTTTTACCATCCTGGCACTAATTATAATGATTCATGGCGTTTTGGCAGCCAACATCAATTATGAAATCCTTGCGGATGATGGTAAGGGGTTTTATTTTGATATATTTAATGATATAATGGGGTTCTTAGTGAATAAAATAGCTGCTTTAAGTAAAATCTTTAACATTTAAAGGGTTGTTGTTATATTTAGGCGCAATAAATTTATCAGTAACGATTTTAAAAATCATTTATTATTTATTTATTTTAAATCCTTCTATCATATCTTTCCATAGGACATCCCAACAAGTGTGTAATGGAGGGTCCCAAAGGTGAGGTTATTATCGAAAGTGGCAAATCAATCCACCATCCCACAAAGTGCGCGCAAGTTGAGTGTGGTAGGGATGGTTGGGCCCTGGTTTATAGGTAAGCTTATCCCCATTATTTTATTGAATTTCAAATATTATAAAATATATTATTTCCAGTTGCGAAGAGAAATATCCTCCAAAAGGCTGTGTATCTGATGGATATGTGGACATTGAGGCTGACTTTCCCGAATGCTGCGAGATGAATTACAAATGCAATAATGCTTAAAATTTTTGAGTTAACGTTTTACAAAGTGTGAGAGTGAATAAAATAAAATATGAATTTAAAGAAATAAATAAAAATACAATGTAATATATTTAAATTTGAGAGATTTTTTAATAAACGGTAAAACAGGTATGTTTATGTTGCGAGATGAACTTGAAATGCAATGACACTTACAATTTTGAGTTTACGTTTTATAAAGTTTGAGAGTGTATAAAAGAAAATATGAATTTAAAGAAATAAATAAAAATAAAATGCAATATATTAAAATTTTAATGTTGTGTTTTTACAATTAAAGTATTAAATTTAAGTATAAACTTAAAGTATAAAATTATATTAATCTATATTATACCAATCTATGTAGCTTTTACAAAGAGCTGGACATTTTAAAACAGATTGTCAGAACAACAGAATTATTTAATACTTCCCCTTTGAAAAACTATTCTGCGAAACGAAGTGTATCTTTGGGATAAGGCTACCCATGGCTGCGATATCTTTTCTCCTCAAAGTCACGCTACTATGGATCCTTTTTCAGGCTTGTCAGTCGGCCGAATGGGAAGGCATCCGCTACGATCCGAGTGAGTGCAGACAATTCCATTTGACAGCTCCACTTTCACGCTCGCCCCTCATCCGCAGAGCATCCTGGTAAGTGCACCATTCACCAGGGACTCGTCCTGAATCCGGGTGTCAGCATCAAGGATCCCACGCACGAGTGCCGCCAAATTGTGTGTGGACACAACGGACGGGTCGCTTTCCACAGGTGTGTTTTGGGGCCTAAAACCTCCTGCAGCTAAAAATGCAAATCTAATTGTGTTCTTTGGCAGCTGTGGAGTGACCGTCCTGGCGCCTTCTTGCCTCCACGGTGAGTACATCAATCCCGAGAAACCCTATCCTGAATGCTGCCGAAGAGCCCTCATTTGCCCCTAGGCAGGCTGATCTATCTTTTTCATTTGGTTATCACAATATACATGTGTATATCCCAAAACGGTGCACAATGTCGTTCGCCCCAGAAACTTTAATACTTTTTGGTCTTCTCTGTATCTTGGTTGTTTTCCAAGCTTCTGCTGATATTTCCCTTAACAACTATGGAGATTCGGGTGAGTTTGATAGTGAATAAGTGTTAAATTGTTAGGTATGGCTAATCTTTTCCAGCTTATCCCAATCGCTGTGTTCTGGACATTGGCTCTTCGGTGGTGCTGCTCAAAATGGGTCAGGCATTTCGTTTGGAGTCCCTGCCCTGCACCACTATTTTCTGCACTGGAGATGGCTATGGAATGCTCTTTACGTGAGTATTTTATAGACCTCATAGTAATTATAAGTAGGTTTTAAATTGTAAGACCCATAATTCGTTTAAAATGCGGAAAAATGGCATTAAGTCGTTCACTAATAAATATCTCTAATCATCATTGTTCCAAAAATATATTAAAACTAATCCTAGTAAATTTAAAAACCAACAAATGTTTTCTCTTACTCCATTCGCCTTATATTCTTAAAGTTGGTCGTTTAATTATTTAAAATACAAATTTTATTGAAGAGGAAACAATTTTTATAGTTCGAATTCTAAATTTAGAAAGAAACATAACTCTTAATAATTGTCTAAATTTCATTACAAATATATTCCTAAGTTTTTATTAAAATCAACAATTTAAATAATAAATTCCCTTAAATATTTATAGGTGTGATAAGAAAGCACCACCGGATGATTGTCGCTATACGGAGTATCTAAACTGGGATGATGACTATCCGAATTGCTGCGAGCGTAAAGTTGAGTGCAATTGAAATTTCTAGTTAGAAAATGTTTTTAGTTGCAAATTAGGTCAATGTCATGAAGTGAAATTCTATCGAAATTAGCCATGCAGTTAAGTACGGGTTAAATAAATCGATTAGACCCACAGCTCTCTTTTTGTAGCTGCTCTGCATAAATATGTTTATTATTTGCTGCACTGGGGGTCATCATTTTCAACCCAGCCAGCTAAACTGTTTATGGAGTTTATGGAGTTTTTCCCTACTTGGCAGAGAGATTCGTGGTGGCCCAGATTTATTGACCGCTGGCCAAGGATCCGGATGCGGCCCTTCATGGCCTTCACTTTCTCGATGGCTTCCCGGGGGATTGGGATTGGAATGAGGAGGGGTTTGGAAAAAGGGTCGAAAGAACCGGAAAGATAAAAGACGAAGGGGCTGGGGCAGAAATTGAAACCACAGCAACAACACTAATTGACATTTGAATGCGACTGTGGGGCAGATTAAGCCTCGGCTACATTGCGGGTCAAATGTGACGACCTCGACAGTTGCTCCCAATTCACAGCCATCTCGGTTTAAGGCCAATTGCCCTATGACCCAAACAACCCACCACCCACAATCATAGGCCAGCATTTTTCCACGGCCCTGCCATTTTTCACAGCCCAAAATGCAATCAAAGTCGCATCTCAATTATGTGATCGATTGCCGATGAACAGTTGTCCCCAGCCAACTGTTTAATTATTCAATTCGATTTACAACCATCAAATCAACATTTAGTGGCAGAGATGCGCAGCTTAGGACTAGCATTTTGAGTTTTATTTATTTATTACTTAAATTAAAAGAAGAGAAAATGGAACTATTTACTATAAAATCGTTTCAATTTACCATTTAGGGACTAAGACCAAAGGTTATTATTCCAAGTTATTAATGGCAGTGAAAATTAGACTAGAAATTCTATGAATTTATATTATAAATATAAGTATTTTAATTTAGATCAATTGATTTTTTATATCATTACTTAAATTAATAAAAGAGAAAATGGAACTTTTTACTATAAAATCGTTTTATTTAACCATTTTAGGTCTAAGACCATAAGTTATTATCCCAAAAATATTAATGCCAGTGAAAAATATGGTAGAAACTCAATGAATTTCATCATGAATATAAATATTTTAATTTAATCAGTAATACCTGTTGCAATTTTTTGTGTTCTGACTATGAAAATTTTAAAGCAAAATACCTAATTATTAATTCAGTATTATAAATAAAATTTGGCATCTCTTATCCACTCGCATATCATCCTAATAAGAGGTGCTTTAGCTAATCCGCAAAACAGAAATTAATTTTGTGGTCGTGTTTAACGCATTCAACTGAAACTAATTAAAATACGGTGTGTGTACCTTGTGTATTGGCAGCGGATTTAATTTTAACTTACACGCATACCATTTGCAAGTTTCCCATTAAAATTAGCTATGGCTTATAAAGGTCAGAAATGCCTAGGAATTTACTATGTAAATGTGAAAATGTGTATGATGGTGGCCATTAACCCAAATCCAAAAAACGACAAAAAAGAAAACACGCCACAAAAGTTCCGATTCGCCAAGGACCGGCAAAGAAATCGGGCTTTTCTTTGTTTGCCCAACCGAAACTTGACCATGGGTCCGAAAAAGTTTCGAGAAATGCAAGAGAAATGTAGGAGAAATGTAGGTTCTACAGGGACCGCAGCTGGTTTTTAGTCGCATGCGAGAAGTGCCAGCCTCAGCATAAAAAAGTGAATATTACACTTTTTTACATTCTTCTTTTTTTGTGCTTCTTTTTTTTTGTGGGGAAAGTGGAAAAGTGGGCAGGGGCCAAACTTAAAGCCTTGTGAAAACACATGTACATACAGCATTTATAAATTGGCTGGGAATGGTGACCTCTCGGTGTGTGCAAAAGGTGAAGGTGATGTGGATGTGGATGTTGGCCGGGCTACAAATGTGTACATAAACGGAAACTGAAATAAAAGTCGGCGCAGAAACGAAAAAAGTCGAAGAGGGCCAGTCGAGGGGCCAAAAATACAAATTCAACCGCCGCATGGCATATAAAATGTAAAAGGTGCAAAGGAGCAGCTTAAAATATGCAAACGCCCAAGCCCTCGCACCTTTTATATTTCGTAGTATCCATATCCAAGTTGGCTGGAAGGGAAAATCTTTAACATCTCCAGTGGCTAACTACAGGAAAACTTTATTTATTCATTACTTTTCACGCGCTGTCTTGGGTTCCCCAACTAAAAAAGGGGCCTCGACTCACAAAAAACCCAGCCAAGAAATATATTTTTGACCTTATAAGAACACATAATGTTTATTAAATATTTAACAATGTTATTCAATAAAATAACTGAATGAATTATAATAACAAATATAAAAAAAAGTAGAAGCAACCTGGGCTTTAAACATAAATAGTTTTCCATTCAGAACAATATATATACAACAAGGATTTTATAATTTCCATTTATAAATTTTCCACGAAATAGTTCTTTCAATGTTTGTAGTTAAATATATTTATGGCAAACCTTTTTATTTTAATAAAAAAAAACCACTTGACATATTTTGACCACAATTTATACATCATCTAAAATGAATGACAATCAATAACGTTTATTTTTAAACGCCGTAAATCAAATATTTCGTTAGCTTTTGATGGCATCAAAATAGTTGTCAAATTATCACAGTAAAATATTCTTTTACCAAATTGATTTATTTTTCCCCATTCCGTCTAATTTTAAGTTTTTACAAATAGAAAAAACTATTTATTATGCATTTTTCTCACTGCTTTTGTGCTTTTTTTGCACAAAATGGAGTTGTGGTCCCCAAAAATATCCTCTAAAATTGAATTTTTCCCCTTCAATGCTCTTTTATGTGTGTTTGCGAGGAGTGTATCCTTGTATCCTTGTTTTCGGTATTTTTTTGTTTCTTATTTTGTTGCTCGAATGAGTCTGAGTGTGTATGCAAAATAAATTATGAGAGTAAAGCACTGCGGACTGTTGCTCTTGTTTTACGAGCTGTTGGCAAAGATGGTTGCCATAAAAATTTTTCGGGGGTTTGGGAGAATTTTATTCGCCATGATTTGTAGTAGTCGCAATGTAATGTTTGCCATGAATTATGAAGAAGACATCTGCTGACCCATCTGCTTGTTTGTTACCCATGGACTAGCAGTCAATAGGAAAATGTATACTGTAATAAAAAGCAATAGTTGAATAAATTTCATGCTTGAATTTCTCTGATATTTTGTATTATTTTTTTTTACGCATTAGTTATGCCAATTTCACAGTCATAACTCTGTCAACTTGTGTACCTAATACAGTACAGAAGATGAAGCTCCTCTGGCTGCTTTTGCTGGGTAAACTAACAGAAGGTTTTTGATATTTTTTCACTGAACTATATTTTCACAAATAAAAGCTTGTGTTGCTGGGGAACATTGCGATAGACCCTGTCCCATCAAAGATAACCCCGGATGTGCCAGCAGGGATGGCAATTGCTTTTATACCGTTCGCCATCCGTGTGTTTTGCAAGCAATCAACTGTTATCGGAAGTCGAAAGGCTTATCTGGTAAATATCGATCGTGATTTGTATCTGTCAAACATTTCGAACATTTTTTTCACAGCTCTGAAACCCATTTCTCGCAGCAAGTGTACTAAACACCAAGTTCCGATTTGCGACAATATTGATACATCATAAAACATTTATGTTTAAGAATGTTAAATTTTATTTTAATTTATTTTCTGTCTTTATGATATTAAATAATGTAGTTTGAATGAAATAATATATTTTTAGAAAAGTTCTAAAATAACTAAATACCATATTTTTTTATTTTAAGGTTTTTAATATTGTTATTTGTTAAAAAAAAAAAAATACTTAAAACCAAGTTCCCAATTACGACAATATTAATACATTATGATTTGTTTTTGTTAAAAATGATAAATTTAATTTATGTTCTACTCACTTTTAACCTTTTTTTAAAGTAAGAAACAATATTATTTGTATACCCTTTCTTATAAACCAAAAAAAATTGTAAAAAGATCTTAAAATATTTAAGTTAATATATATGTCATCTAGATACTTTCCCTATTCTATAAGTCCACGTAAAGTTATAATTAACTAGAAGTTGCTCGATCTATAAATAAACGGTAGATAGTAATTATAAAAAAACATTGACCGAAAATAAATCACGTATCCGCCATGTTTCCCCCTCGGTAGAGCGCTCAAAAGTAGGCAACATCGGGGCCATTAGCCAGTAACTAGTTTACTTTAATCGCCGGTCACTCTTGTCTAATTATAACAAACTATTTTCACTGCACGCCCATTATGCCACGCCCACGTCTGGGGAGTGCCTATATTTAGGGGCGTGTCAGGGGTGTTAGCTACGTCAATCTCAGCTTTTGACGGTAGTTTATCCACGTATATCGTAGAAAAACCCGACGTGACAGAAGTTTATTGACATTTTCCTCTGTTCGGACGTGGCTTCTTCGCTTTATGCCTTATTCCCTTTCAGAAAAATGGTATTATTTGCTTTGGAAATAGTCAGGAAAATTAGAAAATGGAGTTGAAAAAGAAGGACTTTAGGTCTTAAACTTTAAATCCAAAATACCAGGACTATCTATTTTATTTATAACATAAGAGCACTTAATTCTTCATAACTATTATATAAATATAACTATTAAAAAATCTGTTTACCACGAAAGAACATAAAGCAAATATCAAATAGACCAGAAAAATCACTAAAAATAAATCAACCAAAGCGTATAGAGTTTGCCGTTTTGGTAAATAAAATACTTTTGATTATTATCGTTTCTCGCCTCATTGTAAACATTATCATAAAAAATCAATGTGCCGACTGCCAAATTGATTTAGCTGCTTTTATAAGGCACACAAGCAAATAAAACTATTTATCTCTGGAGAATAACGAGTACATTTTTTGAATAATTTGCTGATGTGGGCGTTTCCATTTCAAAGTTTAATTATGCGACTGACTTTGGTCCCTCCCCCCAAATGAGTATGAATTTTTAATATAGATTTTTATGCGATTTTTATGGCTCATTTAAGTTGGAGCTCAGTTAGGGAATAATCGATTGAGCGAGGGGAAAAAACCAAAAAGAGAAAATAACACAAATGTTTGCACACTCACCTTCAGAGTAGGCCACCAACTAGAATCTGCTGCGCCAAGGATTCACAAAAGATGAGGATGAACGTGAGGCCGCGCCGAGGAGAAAAGCCAAGAACAACCACAATGGGCAAGTAGATGGATGCTTGGATGCTCGGATCCTTTGGATGCTGCAGGATGTTTGGATGGTTTATTCTTGTCCAAGGTAAGGCCAAACACACGCGTGCTCCGGCAAGGCAAACAAACGCAAACAAAAACGGAATCAACTCGCTGAAAACGACCACGAAATGTTGCCAATGTGTATTCTTTTCTTTCTTTCTTTTTTTTTGTGTAATTTTTTATATTTGCTGTTGTTAGGAAAATTCACGCATCACCACAGGGCAATCTTCTTGGCCTTTGTTTCACTTGTTTCACCCCCACTCTCTTTTAATTAGGCTAAACCAACTGGCACTATGGCTTCCACTTATCTGCATTCGCAACGATTATGGCCAGCATTGTTTCGCCAATATTAATGCAAATCTCTGAATACCTGGCCAAATGCCCATTTCCATGCCCACCATGCGAATAAATATTATCTCAATGCCAGATTGCGTATACGCCGCGTCGGCGCATTGGCAATCGCACGAAATTCGCTAATGGCATTTCAATAAGAACATCAGGAAAAACTGCTGGCTGACCACAGTGAAGCCTCGGCATGAATAATGAATCAATTTTTATTACACAGCCCATCATGTGTGTGTGTGTGCTGTGAATAATACAAAAGCTGGCGCTTAATAATGCATGAATGCATCGTGGGTGTGCGGGGTGCTGGTCCTGTGACAGGACCTATTTTGCATAAAGGTCATCCCAGCATACGACAAACTTCAACTTGATGTGCAACTGTAATGAAAAAGTTGGTGACCCTCTCCTTTTCCATTTAACTTTGGACACTCAAAAAGGGATTTACACAAACAGGACAAACTCTGGACAGGACGAACATGTGCTGCTGCCCAAAGTTGTCCATTTCTAAGCTGGGAATGTTCTTGGAGACCCAGATATACAAAAAGTTTTATTAATTTTTTAATTGCTATTTTAGTAAATATTTTGCAAGCTGTACTTTAACTTGTAATTGATACAAGATGAAATTTTGTAATCCAAGAATCCCTTGCCAACAGATAAACATTTACTTATGTTCAGATCTAAGTTTATTTTTTAAAAATGAAAGGTAATGCTACACAAAGAGAATTTTTGAGATGTTCTTAAAAAGAGAACTAAATTTTTGAAGATGAAAATGTTTTCATTGTGCTAAAATCAAGATCAATTGGCGGTATTTATATTATATACCTCAAAAACTAAACTCATAGTCCAGTCAGAAGTGTATACTTATTGAAAAGTTGTTAAATAAACTCAATTTATCTTATCTCATCTCACCATTTCATTCTAATATTGAGATAATTAACATCAAAATGTATTTACACGGTTTTTAAGAACGAATGCTCTCAAATCAAGAACAATGTACTCTAATATTTCTCTTTGTGTAAGGGAATTTCAATTTAATTCTTTTATTTTAAAAATAATTTAATATTACCATTAGTTATACGACTTTTCGCAGGCTATACCAGTTTTTTATCGGATTTATTTATTTTCGGGCTATATATTTTAAGGATTCTGAAATAATTTATGAAATTTTCAATATGTCTTATTCTAGGGGGTTTTTAAATTACAAACACAGATTACATTTTATTTTAATTCCTGAAGGAACAAAATGTCTAATACTTTTAATTTAGCCCTTTATGATTTTTACTTAAACCATTTTGTGTAATTTATTTATCTATTTTCCCCAAAGACACTCGATCGGAAATATCCTAGGCACTTATTTCGAACCTAACATGATATCATGACATTGAAATGGCTCTTAGAGGCAACTGTTGTTATTGACGGGACGAGTTTACAGGACCTTACACAAAGGAGGCTCGGAGAGCGAGAGAGCGACGGAAGTGCAGAGCGAGACAGGTGTCAATTGTGTTGTGTTACCTGTTACATGCCCTTGGCTATGAGTGAGTGTGTTTTTTTGATAGGGGGGCTTGAAAAAGGGGGAACCGCAGCTTCCTGGCGGACTTAACCCGTAGGATTGTCTGTTTTGGAGGCTACGGGAATCGTAAATCGTATGCAAATGTCCTCGTATTGGTGACTGTCGCATAAAACTTACTGACAAAGAAGGACATTAAAATTTGTGAGCCGAGAGAGCCTGCGAGACACACACATACACCCACTCATAATATTTTACCTCGCCATGAGAATAATAATGATGTTGATGATGATGATGATATTTTCTGATATTGTTCATTACATTGTTGTGCTTTTACGACTGTTATCCTTGAGTGAAGAACTTGCTACAGGATGCTAACACACTAACACACTGGCACACTAGCACGCACACAGACTCAGGCAGGCACCCACACTCTCACACGCACACGCATGTGCGAAAGGAGCGAGCTTTTACGGTACTTTTTGCCTAAACCGTTAGTTTCCGTTTTTCAAAGAGAGTGAGAGAGAGCCGTAAAAGAGAGTGAGCAGACTTTTCACCTTCGCACTTTCAACTTTTTTCTCCTTTTTTTTAACTTTTTAACTATTATATTTGAAATGCATTTGTTATGATTTATTATTATATTTTTTCTCTGTGTATGGCCACAAAAACACGAACTCGGCCCGCACTGGTCACTTTGAAACCACTCATTCGAAATCACACTTCGCTGCTGGATTTTCTCGCAGTGTTTCGGCCTGGGCCATTTATGAATATGTTTTTTAATTTTTAAATATTTACAGACGCGCCTCCAGCGAACACAGCACACACGGTATGTTGTTCCGTCGCCCGTTGGATTAGAACTGGAACCGAATGCGGAATGCTGGCGGAATGCTAACAAGTTCGCGAGCACAACCGCAGTTTCCACCGAGCTTTCCGCACGGACCTCTGCGTGGGTGGCGAAAGAGAGCCGAAGGAAAGGCGTAAGAGAGAGTCACGCGACTTAAGAGAAATATAACATTGCGAGGTAGTTTAATAGAAGCACCACTTATAAAATGTGTTATCAATAATATCAAGAAATATGAAATATGAAGAAGAATACTTAAATTTGTTGAATTTTATTTACAAGCCTAATATTTTTTTACTCCTTTATAATGTCACGATTACAACATGCGGGATATTCAGCGTTCGGTGCAGTGTATTTTCCAAATTTGTAACCGGGGTGAAGAACGTCTGCAACACATCTACAAAAATAAAATAAAATAAATTTATTTTTATTCTTAAAATAGAAGAATTTAAGCTTAGTCTTACAATGAGATCTCCGCTTCGATATCCTCTCCGCAGTCAACTCGTGCACATTCTTTTGGATGGCGTCCAGTTTGACCCGCTTCAAGGACCAAGCCTTCAACGACACACTTTCCTGGATGAGCTGGATCCTCAAATTTACCCCTATATTGGGATGCCTCAATGCCTGCAATTAGGAAAACGGCGACAACCAAAAAAAGCACGGTAGCTAGATGCATCTTGAAGACTTCAAATCACAACTTTGACTGAAGTGTTTAGACTCTTCTGACATTTATAAAGCATCTATAATGGACAGAAGATCACAGTAAATTTTGATTATAGCTCAATCAAAATGTGTTTTATATACATATAACCATTAAAAATGAACTCTTACAGGAAGTGATTAGAGTAATGTTTTATTAGAGCTAAACCCAAACGTTTTTTGGTATAAAAAAATTAATCAGGAAATCTAGCACAGACTAAACGAAGGCAGATAATATATGTAAAATAGATAGTCTTAGACCGGATTTGGATTTGGAAAGATTGCAATAAAAATAGCTGAACAATAAAATAGTTTTTTAGAGTATAGGGGTATATTGTATTTGGAGAAAAGTATGTAAGAGATAGGAGGAAACGTTTCCAAACCCATGATGTATATATATTCTTGATCAGGATCACTAGCCGAGTTAATAAAATATCCTAACTCCTAGGCATAAATAGTAAAATTTGAGAGTCTGAAATTTTTGGAAAATGCTCAGTTCGGATAAATAAACCTTGAGACAAAGCAACAGAATAATAAACAGAAAAAGTAGTTAGTAAAAATAATCTTTAAGTACATAAGTAAGTTTGGTCAAAAAAAATAAAAACAAAACATTAATAATAATTACAGATAAAAAAAGTATAGAATAAAAAAAATTAAAATATAGAGTATTATTACCCTAAAATTAAATATTTCTAGTAGTGTTTTTCTTTTGATAAGACGGAAATATCGATAGTTGCAATCGATGTTTAGAACACGATTGCATGGAGAGTGCCACCTCTATCTCAGAAAGGTGTAAACAAAAATAAGGAAATCTTGTACATTTTAACTCAGTTGCACTTTTTAGACCAAAGAAATCATTAAAATCATGTCCGACGAGTACGCATGCGTGGCCAAGGGAAAGCTCAAGCTGAAGAACGACTCGGATCTAAAGAAGAAAAAGAAGAAGCACAAGAGCAAGGACAAGGAGCTGCAGAAGGCGTACGTGGAGCAGCATGTGGCCGAGGCGGGCGCCACCTCCTCCTCCGCCGCCAGTGGCTACGAGCGGAAGCTCACCAAGGCGGAGCTGGCCAGCAAGAAGCAGCAGGAGAAGATGCGCAACAAGAGGATCATGGACAAGGCACAAACCACCCACAAGGAGCGCGTGGAGAAGTTCAACGAGCACCTGGACACACTCACCGAGCACTTCGACATCCCCAAAGTGTCCTGGACGAAGTGAGGCGAGACCAGTCGTAACTTAAAGCATACATTTATTAATAGGTTAAGTAATTTCGACTATGTTGTGACCTGGGGCGTGAAAGGGAAATGTGAGAGGGTGGCCAAAATAAACAATCTGGATGGCACAACTAAGCTAAATACACAGAAATATGTAGTTACAACGTAAAGAGGGGTAGTTTCCAACTTTCAGTCCAGTCTCCTCGGAGGGCTTTCGAACTCCTAGCGCGGTGCAATCAGCTCAAACATGGCGTACTTCCAGGTCCAGGAGCGCACCAATTGCTCGAAGCGTTCGCGCTCGTGTTCATAGATATATCCCACTTCCGGCTCCATGCAGACATCGGTGTACGGATCTGTCAGCAAGCTCTGCACCGACAGCAGCACCTTGGCCACATTTAGCGCCAGCGACCAGTTTTGCTTCTGGAAGATGTCGATGCCCACGTCGCCGTGTCGTGACACGTTCGGGTGCAGGATCTTTGTGAGGAAACGCACTGTCGGCGGCGTCATCGGATAGCGCTCCGGGAAGAAGATGAACAGAAAGAACTTGCCACCCTCGTAGGGGCTGCCTGGTGGCCCCAGGATCGTGGCCTGCCAGTAGTTGTTTTGTTGATCCAGCGGTATGGCCGATATGCCTTCAGAGTCGTAGCTGTTCAGCAAATTCGCCTCGCCGCGCAGGAAGTTGTTTCGCATCACATTGCCCGGCTCCCGTTCGCCCGGCTGGTGAACCGCCTGCTCCTCCTCCTCACCCCGGCCGCCCATCTCGATCAGGCAGGTGCGGCAGAAGCAGGAGGACATCAGGGCCCCGTACAACCGATACCAGTTGGGATTGTCCGCCAAGCAGTCGAACAGCGGCCAGCGCTGCTTGATATACGCCTTCCACATGCTCTGGGCCGTGTTCTTGGCGACGATGTCGTGCCATTGCTTGCACACCTCACTGGCCATCCACAGCGACATGTCATCCAGATAGGCGAATATCTTCAGCATCACCTCTACGGGTATTATGTTCACAATGTTCCTACTGCCACTTGCTCCCATTCCGCCGGCGGCGTTGTATTCATGGACTCGCGCCCTTCCATCGGCCAATTCGTGCATATAGTGGGGCAGCGCCAAGGGAGGCATGGCCCGTGGACGCTTGATGGGCAGCAGGAAGGGATTGACGGCCCGCTGTCGCTCAAAGTCGCGCTCCGGAGACTCGCGTCGTGGTGCCGGCGGTTCAGGCACCTGCTGGGGCAGATCGTCAACTGGCTGGGCTGGCTGCTGTTCATCCTGCGGTTCCACTGGTGGCTGTGGATTTGGTTGCTGTGGAACGGCCGGCGGTTCCGGATCCTCGAGATCCTCGAAGCCCATAATATCCACATCGTTTTCGGTCTCCTCGTCCTCCTGTTTGTCCTTGAATGGCGGCTCGTCGTTCCCAGAGTCCTCGTCGTCTGACAGCTCCGTCAGCAGCTCCTCCGCCCTTTGGGCGTTATACAGGAAGGCGTGGCAGGCGCCGCATAACGGCTCCCCGAAGTTGGGCCCATAGTAGCCATTGCACACCCAGCAGGTGTTGCTATTCTGCGAATTGGAAAGGCAGCAGACACTCAATTCATCGGACTGCAAGAAAAAGGCTTGTTCCATATTGTATACACACCGAAAAAGAGAACGTCGGCTCCACCAGCTGATGTGGGTTCTGGTCCGGATCGTCTGGGTCGTCCATCTCGTCGCCACTGTTGACCAGCTCCTTGAGCAACTGCTCCTGGTCCTTTTGCTGCTGCGCTGGCACGCAGCTAGTCATTTTATCCTGATCTCCGGAGAAACTGGTGCGAAAACAAAATAGAGGTGGAGAAACATCGATGGACTCATCGAAGTCATCGATGTGTTCAAATCATCGGTAGCATTAATGTTCGGGATTATCGATGTTTTTTTCTTCATTTTATTTATTCGCTATTGTTATGCCAAGTCTAGAAGTTATTTGTTAGGACTCTCAAAAATAGGAGTCCATAGTAACTTATATTTTAAAAATGGTTTAATTTTCTTTGTTAATATTAAATAATTGATGTTGCAGCCCTAGCACAAACTTTGTGCGTGTAAGTGAGACCATACTTGTCCCCTAGTCTCCCTAGGTCTATCGGTCGATAACCAAAACAAAACAGCTGCGAAGACGTCACACGTGCAATTTATGTGAAATTCATCCAGAAAATGAAGCCAAAAAAGAAGCTGGGCAAGTTTCATGCGGGAAAGTAGTATACTAAACACCTGCTAACCCGTACTTACATTACAGGTGTCGGGCTGAGCCGCGAGGAGCGACAGGTGCTGGTTATTGGGGAGATCATACAGGAGCTACTGCGGGCGCACGAGGCCAAGAAGGATGTGAACCTCAACAGGATGAAGTCCTTGGTGTCCTCCAAATACGGACTGGACAGCTCGCCGCGCCTTGTGGACATCATTGCAGCCGTGCCGCAGGACGCCAAGAAGATTCTGCTCCCCAAGCTGAGGGCTAAGCCCATTCGCACAGCAAGTGGAGTAAGTCGTTTAGGGCTTATGAAAGACAGCCCTCCCTTATACAATCCTTTTACTCCAGATTGCCGTGGTGGCCGTCATGTGTAAGCCGCATCGCTGTCCACACATCAACATGACGGGCAACATTTGCGTCTATTGTCCCGGTGGACCAGACAGTGACTTCGAGTACTCCACGCAGTCGTACACGGGTTATGAGCCCACCTCAATGCGAGCCAGTAAGTCGATCTGTTTTTTCAAAATGTACACCTAATCATTTTTTTCAAACAATTTAAATTGCAGTCCGGGCACGGTACGATCCCTTCCTGCAGACTCGCCACCGCGTCGAACAGCTGAAGCAGCTGGGTCACAGCGTGGACAAGGTGGAGTTCATCGTGATGGGCGGCACGTTCATGTGCCTGCCGGAGGAGTACCGCGACTACTTCATTCGCAACCTGCACGATGCCCTCTCCGGTCACAGCAGCGCCAATGTGGCGGAGGCCGTTCGCTACTCAGAGAAGTCACGCACCAAGTGCATTGGCATCACCATAGAGACGCGCCCGGATTACTGCCTCAAGAGGCATATTTCAGACATGCTCAACTACGGCTGCACCCGTTTGGAGATTGGCGTGCAATCTGTTTACGAGGACGTCGCCAGGGACACAAATCGAGGACACACCGTGCGGGCAGTGTGCGAGAGCTTCCAGCTGGGCAAGGATGCCGGCTACAAGATCGTGACGCACATGATGCCCGATCTTCCGAACGTGGACTTTGAGCGCGACATAGAGCAGTTTATCGAGTACTTTGAAAACCCCGCCTTCCGCTCCGACGGCCTGAAGATCTACCCCACTCTCGTCATTCGCGGCACAGGACTCTATGAGTTGTGGAAGACCGGTCGTTATAAGTCCTATCCACCATCAATGCTGGTGGACCTGGTGGCCAAGATCTTGGCCCTTGTACCGCCTTGGACACGAGTCTACCGCGTGCAGCGCGACATTCCCATGCCTCTGGTTAGGTAAGTTAAGCTTGATGGAATCATTTTATTTAGACTTACATATTTATCCCATCCAGTTCCGGCGTGGAGCACGGCAATCTCCGCGAGTTGGCACTTGCCCGCATGAAGGATCTTGGGACGACTTGCCGAGATGTTAGGACGCGCGAGGTTGGCATTCAGGAGATCCACAACAAGGTGCGTCCTTACGAAATCGAGTTAATACGCCGGGACTATGTGGCCAACGGCGGCTGGGAAACTTTCCTCTCCTACGAAGATCCCGAGCAGGACATTCTCGTGGGTCTTCTTAGGCTGCGTAAGTGCTCGCCGGACACCTTCCGTCCGGAGTTGAAGGGCGCGTGCTCCATCGTGCGCGAACTGCACGTGTATGGCTCAGTGGTGCCTGTCAATGCCCGTGATCCCACCAAGTTCCAGCACCAGGGCTTCGGTATGTTGCTCATGGAGGAGGCGGAGCGAATTTCTCGCGAGGAGCACGGCAGCACCAAATTGGCGGTCATATCGGGAGTGGGCACCAGGAACTACTATCGCAAGCTGGGATACGAACTGGACGGGCCGTACATGTCCAAAAGCATAGCCTAATTGGGAACTACAGATTCCTAATGGCCTTAAATAAATTTTAAAATTTAATGACTATGTTGGTGTAGCTTGATGAATTAAACATTTGTATTTATCACGCTAGGAGCAGTAAGATTTCGCTACTTAAAACTACGGCCTTAAGTATATACATTAATATATATAGAGTGGATTGATTTATTGGCTAAAGATCATAGTCTTAAAGTATCCATGATACTACATATTTTTGGCTTTAACATCTCACAAGAAAAGTTCTTGGTCGTCATATTATATTTGAAAATAAAAATGGAATAGTTTTAAATCAGATGCATCAACATAAATCGACCCACTCTAATATACACACACATAAATAAATAAGTTAGTTTATGCTGAGGAAAGTGTGCAAGAGAATGTTAAACAATGGGCTCCGCCGAGCCGAAGACCATGAATATGATCCATCCAACAAGATTAATGCCAGCCGCCGCGCTGAACACCATCGGCCAACTCTGCGTGAGTTCCAGAATGTGTCCGGCCAGATAGACACCTAGGAAGCCAGGGATTGCGCCCACTGTGTTCATCAGACCAAAGACGCTGCCCGAGTGCAAAGGAGCCAGATCCTGGGGATTGACCGTCACCGCGTTGTTATGGAAGCCCGTGCCGGCAATAATGATGGTCATGCAGATGAGGGCCGTGTGAAAGTCCGAGGTCCGGCTCATCACGAAAAGGGCCAAATTTTGGGCGGCAAAGCAGCAGCTCTGGATAAACTTGCGCACCGTCGTCGTATGCCATTCGCGGGCAAGCAACCTGGTGGTCAAGTACTTGGCGAACAGGGTGCACGGTGGCAAGGCCAGCCACGGTATCATATTGACCACCCAGCCCTTGGCGTGCGGAAAGCCGTCGTGGAAGTAGGTCGGCAGCCACGAGAGCAGCACAAAGAAGCAGTTCATCTCGCAGGCGTGGGTCAGCACACATGCCCAAAAGGAAAGTCGACTAAAGTAGCGCAGCCAGGGCACGGCCGTCGCCTCCGCTGGACTCTTGTTCGCGCACAGTCGCGAGGGCGTGGCTATATTTATGATCCGATTGCGTTCCCCGGCCATTGCATAGTAGCGCAGCACCAGCGCCCAGGCAATGCCCATCAGACCAATCACCCGGAAGACGTACGACCAGCCAAAATAATCCAGCAGAAACGAACCCATGATTCCGGTTAAGAGAGTGCCCAAGGCCGAGCCGGCTGTGAGCAGGCCAAAGAAGCTACTCCTCTCATTGGGGCAGAGGTTCTGCAGGGGATAAGATTATAGTTTATGTGGGTATCCATATGATAGCTACTTACCTGACTCGTCAAGCTGATCATGCTGGGAAAGTGGACGCCCTGAAGGGCGCCGTTCAGGATGCGAATGGCCACGATGAGGGGAATGGCATAGCTCTTGATGGAGCCCGCCGACCAGATAATAGTGGGCATCAGGAATGTGATGAGCGACCAGCCGATGGCGGCGAACAGGATGACCCGCTGACCTCCAAAGCGATCGCTGAAATAGCCGCCCACAACCTGTGTGAGCGTGTAGCCCCAGAAGAAGGAGCTGAGCACGGTGCCTGAGTCGGTTTTACTCCACTTCTGGGCGGCTGCCACGGCCGGCACAAGAAGTGGCATGGTGGTGCGGGTGGAGTAGAGCATGCAGGTGCCCGTTATCAGGGTGATAAACCACACGCGTTTCTCGTGCCTGAAAAGAATCGAGGGAGGCGGAGAACTGGAGTATTTGTAAGATCGATGAGATGCACTTAGGGATTCCCACCTGGTCCATATGCTCTGCGTGTCCACCAGTTCCCCGCGCAGCAGTGAGTACTTTAGCTTTTCATCCATGGTCATATATTGGGGTCCGGTTCTATTGCTGCTGCTTCACGTCACATATCAACTCCAAATGCTGCGTCTCTTGCCGCTGTGGCATATTCTAATGGCTTTTGTTTACTTTCATTCAGTTTGGTTTGACCCAGAACAGAAAGTATTTGCGCGATTGTGTTTTTTACGTGGCTGTTTTTCCAGCAGCCGCTGGATCTTAGAGCATAGTCCGGCCATGTAGACTTGGCTACGCGCTACTTTTTCAATATAAGATAGCAGTTGTGGCGCACGCAGAAAAAATAAATTCATTACATGTCGATATGGATAGAATGCTAAATATTTAATTATTTTATTTAAAATATATAGTTTTAATAGTTTAAGAATTTGTTTAATTGATTGTTATTGACAATAGTTTAACAACTCAAATTTCTTTCTTGCCACAAAAATAATCTTTCTCCTAATTTAATTTTAAAATTAAATGCGTCTATTATTATGCGTCTCATTATCAACATATTCCCCATCGTCCCCGTTGTAGGGTGCACAAAATAGTATGGCCAAATAAAGTATTTCATGTTTATGTTATGTCGATATGGCCTGAATCGATAATAAATCGATAGCGCAACATGTGTTTTTGCGCTTAACAGCACTTTTTCAAGCAATGTTAATGGAGGACCAATGCAAGGAAGTAAACAAACTATATGACCTGAGAAATATAATTTCCAAACGTCATTTCATTGCAACCTCATGTGAGTAGACCACCATTTTAACTACTGCTGCTAAAACTGAATATTTCAGGAAAATGAAGGAAAAATGCAGGGTTTGCTTGCTGAAGCACCAGAACATGGTGCACATATTTGAGGGGCAAAATACACAGGATCTCGAAATATCCTTAGCGAATATGATTTCGGATTCAACAGGCTTTCCAGTGGCCAAAGGGGACCTTCTTCCGGAATTCATTTGTGTGCTTTGCCTGCAGGATATGACAAGCACTTTCAGGGCCAGGAAAACCTACGAGTCCAACCAGCAGCTCGTCTGTCAAATCAAGGAGGAAATCATAGAAGAGGATTTCGTGGAGGATGAGGATTACAATGGACAGGACTGCGAGTCCTATTATGAAGAGGAAGACGATACCTTTGCGTGCCACGTGAAAAACGAACCCTTAGAAGAAGACTTTGCAGAGCAAGACATGACCAAAACTTCAGACAGGCCAATAGACCATTACAATGGAGAATGGAATGAAGAAAACACCGAAGTGGAAGCTAGTAATAATACAAAGGATATTGATTATGACCCCACCAAAGAAGAACTTCCATTCAAATGTGATCGTTGTCCCAAGAGATTTCGGAGCAAGTATTTTCTTAATCTCCACAGACACGATCACAAGAAAAAACAGGCACCGCAGCACTGTGACCACTGCTCCAAAACCTTTCCTACTTCAGCACAAATGAGAAAGCATATGCTGACTCACACCGGCATAAGGCCATATAAATGTACGCAGTGTCCCAAATCCTTTTTTAATAATTCCAATCTTCAATCACACCTCCGTATTCATACTGGGGAGCGACCATTCAAGTGCTCTAAATGTCCAAAAACGTTTATACAAAGAACCCATCTTGTTAATCACGACCGCACTCACACTGGGGAACGTCCCTTCAAGTGTTCCGAATGCCAAAAGACTTTTATACAACCTGCTAATCTTCATTCACACATCAAGACTCACTGCAAGCAAATATCCAGACCTCGGAGAACCACAAGAGCCAGGAGCCAAACTCTGACAGAGGAGCCAATTTTCAATTGCTCCCGTTGTCCGCTGTCTTTTGCGAACGAAGATGGTCTTCTTAATCATATGCACACTCACAACGCCTTGTTTGAGGAAGAAGTTTGCCAGATGTCCGACAACGAAACCGATCCATTCCATGATATTGAAGTGGATATATTTGAGGACAATGATAAGGATGCTAAGCTAGAAAATTCGGAGGACACAGTAGACAACAGCAATGATGACCAAGCTCCTGTGTTTAGATGTCCTCACTGTCCAAAGGTGTGCTGGCGCAGTCATGATCTTAAGGCCCACTTAAGAAATCATTATGAGGAACCAAAAACGTGTCCCCACTGCCCGAAAACATTCAGTATCGTATCAACCTTCAAGAGACATATGCGGACTCACACAAAGGAAAAAAAGTTTGCGTGCGACTATTGCCCAAAGGTCTTCAGAAATCCGGCGCAGATTAAAGAGCACACTCGAACTCACACCGGAGAACGTCCTTATCAATGCCCGGATTGCCTGCAGTCATTTGCCTATAATTCGGTTCTGAAAAAACACATGCGAACTCACACTGGCGAAAGGCCGTTCTGGTGTAACGAATGCAACAAATCGTATGTACAATTGGATCATCTTAAGCAACACATGCTTAGGAACCACACAGAACAAATCTCCACTAAAAAAGATGCTCCACAGCACAAATGTAGCGAGTGCTTGAAGACTTATCAAAACCCAAGATCGCTTAGGAGACACATGTTGATTCACACCAGGAAAAAAGAATATAATTGCACCGATTGCTCAGAGTCCTTTATAGGAAAAGAAGCTTATACAAATCACGTATTGATTGAACACACCAAAAAAGAATTCGTCAGTAAGGCTCAGGAAAACACGCATAATTGCCTACTCTGCCCAAAAACGTTTTCAAATGATCACAATCTTAAAGTCCATACTCTCACACACTGTGTGAAAAAGCGCCTTACATGCTCACATTGTCCGGAAACATTTGCGAACAAACAGACTCTTAGAATGCACCTACGCATTCACACGGGGGAAAAGCCCTATGGCTGTACAAAGTGCAAAAAAACTTTTTCAAGAAGCGACTACCTTGTCAAGCACATCAGTAGACGCCATGAGAAAAAGAATAAACCTTCGGAACCAGAACCACCCATATGCGAGATTACCATAAAGGAGGAGAATCTCAGTTTGCTCGAAGAACTTTAAAAACCCACTGAGTTTGGTATTACATTTAAGGGTTATTTACCTAATATAAGTAAATAAATATGTTACTATGTTTTAAAGGTTTGCATTTTATTAATTTTGAAAGACGTATTTCGATACATGAGATAAATATTCATAAATCTATCTCAATCCTTCTGGATGTCGCGAGTATTACATGATTGTTGAATACTTCTGAGCATTGGGAGCAATGGATGTGTTTAAGTACCAAGCACTGAGTGCACTGGAACTGTTTTTTATTCGAGTGGATGTTCATGTGCTCTTCCAAACTGCTACGAAGCATAAAGTTCTTGCAACACATGGGACATTTTAGGAATCCTACGTTTGGATGGGCTTTGCGGATATGATTTAGAAGGCTGTAAGTACCTGGAAACGAATCGGGGCAGTGGGGACACTTTGTCGATTTTCCTTCGACATGCCACCTTCTTTAATGATTCTGAAGGTTTGATTTTTTCGAAAATGTCTTTGAGCATTGGAATGGATTCTGGTACTTTTCAACGCCAAAAATTTTGATTTTTAGTATGAACTTTCATATGTTGTTGGAGATGCACCTCTAACTTAAATGCCCATTCACATTGACTGCACTTAAACGGCCTCTCCCCCGTGTGAGTTAGAACATGAAATATTAGACTGAAATGTTGCTGAAAAACCATTGGGCAGTAGGAACACTTGTGCTGTTGCCGACCTTTATCGTGAATCCGCTTGTGTAATTGGAAAATAGAATTCCTTTTGAAGCTTTTCGGGCAATGAGGACACTTGAAGGGAAGATCTATCATTATGCACTCTTTATCAGCATCGATATTTCTGGGACTATTACTGCATTCTTTATCAACGTCGCTGATCCCAGGATCATCAATACTATAATCTTCAGTGATATCGCTATTTCTAGGACTATTACTGCATTCTTTATCGACGTCGTTGATCCCAGGATCATCAATACTATAATCTTCAGTGATATCGCTATTTCTAGGACTATTACTGCATTCTTTATCAACGTCGTTGATCCCAGGATCATCAATACTATAATCTTCAGTGATATCGGTATCTTCCACTTTAAACCAGACTTCATGTGGTTGAAGAATGGCGTTACTATCCTCATCTTCAAGTGAATCTTCGTCAACTGCCTCGTTTTTAACCTGAATGTCGAATTCACTCTTTTCCATTACTAATTCTTCATTTTTAGCTAAGCTAACTTCACTACAATTCAACTTGTCATTCTCATAGTTCTCCTCCGTTGTGTCCTTTTCAAGGACCTCTTCATTCATTTGGTATTCGGATTTTACATGTACTTCTTCCTGAAATGAATTCATCTCAACGACCTCCTGGTTTTGTTGGCTAAGGCATAGCACGCAGATGGTTTCCGGAAGGGAATCTCCACTTTTAACCAACAAGCCTTTTTTTAGCTTGCAAATGCGACACAAGTTATCCATCGTCCTGTTACAAAGAATTACTAATTAAAAACCAATAGCAAAAGTATTTTTACTTGCTTACCACTTGTTTTGTATACAATTTGCCAGGAATATTTCGAAGTGCACGATCTACCCTATGCTGTTAACCAGAAACAACAGATGTTTCGCTATCGAATTGTTATCGACATTTGAAAAATGGCACAAGAAAAAATTAAATTAAGAATATTTACCGAATAAAACTAAATTGTCCATTCAATTATAAACTATTTAAACTCTTTATTTCATAAATGTTAAAATAGTTTATGAGGTCATTGTTGTGGGTTCTTTCTTCCCGCTTTGGGAATACATCTTCGCTTCTTTCTTGAACGTGAGCAACGCTTTGGACAATAAGGACACGGGAAATCACTATCCAGATCGGATTTACTCCATTTCTCAGCAATATATGTAGGTCTGCCCCTCCTTTACTACGTAGTGAAAATGTGGGGGAATACTCGTTTGTTCAACATATTTTGATTGATCGGTTTCTATTGAAGGTATTTTGCAGACGAACTCCTCAAGATCATCTTCAATTCTTTCATTCTTCACTTCGATCATGGGTTTTAATGTGAAGGGATGCGTGGGTTTAAGTAAGTCTTGATCTGTCATCATGGCGTTTTCAAAGTTTACAGGAATTGTAATTAGTAAATCTGTTTTTTTTGCAGCACAGATTTTACGTGGCAGTCTGATCGTTTTATGGCGATAAGAATTACATATCAAGATTTAATTTGACAAAAAATTTAAATGTTTAGAAAAAACCAAAAACTTTAATATAAATAAATATATAAGGATTTGTCTTAATTTTTTTATTTGCTTCATCCATTTTTTGAGAAAAGTTTAAATATATTAAATATATTTTTTTCATAGGTAGTTTCATACTGATTTTAATAAAGATGTTTTACTTCATTGTTTAAGTACATTCAATGCTTAAGTGATGGGGTTTCTATTTAAAAAGTTGCTACCTAACTATTTTTCAGCAATATCAAATAAAATGTTTCTTTTCCTTAGCATGAGTTCGCATGTGCTTTCTTAGGTACCGCATTAAGGTAAAACTCTGGGAGCACTGGGAGCACTTATGGGCCTTGTCCGTAGAGTGTGTAAGCATATGGTGTTCGAGGGCGAAACGTTGTACGAATTGTTCCGGGCACTGGGAACATGGATGCAGTGGAACATTCAAGTGAATTTTTTTATGCCTGCGAAGCTGCTTTTTTCTTGGAAAAGACTTTGGGCACTGGGTACACTTAAAGGCTCCAGACTCCGAGTGGGAAGCGATATGACGCCGAAGTGGTTGCTTTAAGGCAAACGTCATGGGACACTGGGGGCACTGGAAGGGACGCTCGCCCGTGTGGACGCGTATATGATCCCGAAGATGCGACTTTCTGGCAAAGAACTTCTTGCAATGCGGGCACTCGTGCGGGCGAATTCCATCGTGGACTCGTTTGTGTCGCAGGAGATCTGAACCCTTTACGAAGGACATGGTGCACTCCGTGCACTGGAACGGACGCTCGCCCGTGTGGATGCGAATATGCGAAACAAGAGTGGGTTTTTGTGCGAAGGAATTGGAGCAGTGTGGGCACTTGTAAGGCTTTTCACCAGTGTGACATCGAAGGTGGATAGTCAGAACTTGTTCATTGACACATGACCGGGAGCAGTGAGGACATTTGTAGCCCTGGACCCAGTTCCCCTGAAGACTTTTGTTTCGACGTCTTTTCCTTCTTGAACTCTTTTGTGAACCAGTTTTCTCTTTGGTTTTGCCATCATCCGATTTTAAAGTATTAGCGGAGGTATCACAATCGCTTTCCTTGTCCGAAAACTCCCAGTCCTCTTCCTCGAGCAATGCGCATATGGCTTCCTCTATGCCCTCATCCCGAACCTGGCAGAAGAACTGGTGGCTCCTCTCGTAGGTCTTCCCGATCTTGTAGGCATTCTTCGCATCCTGCAGACAAGTACGGCAAATGGTCGCGGGAAACGAATCTCCTGGCTTGGCCTCGAACCCAGTGCATTCTGTGATCATTTCTGCTATGGAGATATCCAGTTTCGGCATCCTATCGAATATGTTGACCAGGTGTTCATCTCCAGGAGTCCCCAGGCAAGCCCGGCAAATTTTCTCCATGGCCTCGGCCCTATACATACAATAAATATATTGTTAGCCATATTTTAGTAGGTCAATAATATGTACAATAGAACTACTCAGTCAATTTAGTCAAAGAACTCAAATCCGTGAGAAAAACATGTGCGAAGGTAAAATGCAATATGATATGTTATGTATGTACATATGCATAACATATGATGACTATAACAGCTGTTATGCGCAGTCGAAATCTGTTAAAATATTCAACATACTGTTATCCCCAAACAAACCAAATTTTCAAAAAGAACAAAGTAAAAAAGGTTGTAGGAACCACATATATGTATATAAATAATTAAATTCAATGTTTAATATCATATCATTTAACAGCAATTTCAGATGACAAAAGTCAATCTTGAGATATCATAACCAGTATAAATACAATATATGTATGTCTAACGGAATGCATTTTTTTAAGGTACTCTCACGGTTTTAGGTTTCTCCATGGTTATTTCTAGTGTGTTTCCATGTGCGCCCGCAGACTGCGCTTGATGCTAAAGGACTTTTCGCACTTGGGACACTCGTAGGGTTTCTCTCCAGTGTGGGTTCTTAAGTGAGTTCCCAGAGTGGAGCGGGCAGCGAAGGACTTGGAGCACTCGGAACACTTAAAAGGACGTTCTCCGGTGTGACAGCGCAAGTGAATGACAAGAAGCTTCTGCCATCTGAAGGACGTCTCGCAGTGGGGACACTTGTGCGGACGTTCGCCGGTGTGACCCAACATGTGATCCCTCAGGCCCCCGGAGTAAGCGAAGGACTTCGGGCACTCGGTGCACTTGAAGGGGCGCTCGCCCGTATGGATGCGAATGTGCTTCCGCAGGGCACAGCTATCTTTAAAAGTCTTCTGGCAGTGCTCACATTTATAGGGTCTTTCATCGGAGTGGAGTCTTATGTGCTTCATTAGGTTGCCACTCAATTTGCATCTCTTTGGGCAATGTGGGCACTTAAAGGGAAGCTGCTTATCACCATCATCGCTGTCATATGTAGAGGATTCAGTCTTCTTGTCCACCTTATGAACGTCCTTGTCTTTGAAGAATATATCAGTCTTCTTGTCCACCTTATGAAGGTCCTTGTCCTTGAAGAACATATCACCATCATCGCTATCATCTGTAGAGGATTCGGTCTTGTTGTCCTCCTCCTGATCCTTAGTTCTGTAAAAGGCCTTTGCCAAACGATCCTCCTCCATCTGGCAGAAGAAGTAATGGCTCCTCTCGTAGGTCTTCTTAATCTCAAAGGCATTTGCAGCATCCTCACAGCAAGGCAGGCAAATTAGTTTCGGAAGAGAGTCATCCTTTTCAACTGGAAAGCCGGAAGATTCTGAAATCACATCCGCAATGGAAATGTCCAGCTCTTGCGTTTCCTGGAAAATGTTTACCATGACCTCCGACCTCTTCAAACAAACTCGGCATATTTCCTCCATTGTCCTGAAGTTGAATAATCAAAACATTAATAAATAACACAAAAATCTGAAATATTAGCTGACCTTCTTGACAGGTTCTAAAATTTGAAGGATAGTTCCGATTACTGGTGACGCTAATCACCCTGTTACCCAAAACCAATAACAAAATTTAAAAGTTATCGGAAAACTAGATTTCGAATTTCTTAAATTTGTTTAATTAAAAAATATACCATTTTTAAAGAATAATATTAAAATTATGAGCTAATAATAATAATATTACTTCTAAACAACTTAAATGCTCGTTAAAACCAAAATAATAATAAAGATTCAGCATATATGTACATATGTACACACTATGTTGTCAAGTGCTTTATTTTATAAGAACCCACGAATCCGATAATTCCAATTACCCATTTTTTATATTACAATACCTTCAATGGTTTATTATTAAATCTAAGTATAATTGTATGTTATATTCAATTGTTATTATTGTAAATATCGCGATGCCTATTAAGATAATTCGTCTCAAAATGGTAAAAAACCTATGTATGCTAAATAGTTTTAGTTCCTATTTCTTGGGCAGTGCATCCTCGTCCGTGGGATCGCAGTCGGCACAGTGCCAGGAGTAGCCGCGTATCTTGGGCGACTTTTTGAGCGGCGGATCGAGGCAGGCGAAGTGATAGTGTCGGTGGCACTCGTCGCAGGTCACCACCTGGTTGGTCTTTCCCGTTTGGCTGCACACGCAGCAGCTGATCTCCACATTCGGCTTGGTGTTGGACACTCGGGGACGACCCACGCGAGGCTTCTTGGGCGTTGCTTTTCGAGGACTAACCTTTCGTTTGGGTGACGGCGTAGTGGTGACGGCGACGGGAGCTGCAGCGGCAGCGGGAACAGGAGCCTCCTTGGGCTCCCGAATCTTTTGCGGTGACGCTGCCGGCAGCACAATGGGGGCCAAGGCCTGCTCCGCTCCCTGGACACTGTCCTCGACCGTTTCAACCGAGGTGGGACGCGAGGCTTCATCCACGGAACGCACTGCGTTGGCCGGCACGTAGAAGTACTGCGATTCAGGCGCATCCTCGCCGGGCAGGCGCAGTGCCTTGAAGATGATCTTAATAGTGCTGCCGGAGGAGTTGGCCACGGTGTCCAGGTGAGACGACGACTCTTCGAGGTGAGCCCGCTTTTTTCGCTTCCGTTTGTGCTCCTTGCCGATGGATTTCTCCGTGTCCGACGACAGGTTGTGTTTGTTCTTGTGCTTGTCCTTGCGCTTGCCCTTGCGGGATAGTTTACCGCAGGAGTCGTCAATGGAATCCTCGCAGCCAGATAGATTCAAGGCGCTGGCATTGGGAGTGGCCAACGCAGGAGCAGCTGGGGGTGTGGGTGTGGCATTAGCGGCAGGAACTGGCGGAAGAAGATCCGTGAGATTAGATTTTATTCGAAACAAATATCTTGAACACAAGTAAGAAGTAAGAATTTTCCTTTCAGTTCAATTACAATAAATTAAAAGTTGTTTCTGGCATAAGTTTCTTGTACTGCCAAAATAAATCCAATTGAAGGGACATTAACATTTTACGGGGAAAGCATAGTTGTTTCTCAAACATAACAAACATAATTTTTGAAACGATCATGCGGATTATCCTGGACATTCGCAAATACATTAAACTAAAATGAGTACTTTCAAAGCAAAGAATAAACATGTTAACATTTTTAAACAAAAAAAAAAAAACTCCAAATTAAGCAACATATTCTTGACAAGCTTAGTGCAAAGTCGAATTCTTCGCAACGAACTCACCATTAGTTGGTGTTTTATGCGGCGATTGCAGTTTGGGACGTTTCGGCGACTTGGTCAGATCCTCGATGTATTCCGGAGCAGGAGTGGGCAATGATTTGTTAATCGCCCTTTTGGGAGCGATGGCAACCGCCACTGGAACATCGTCCAGGGAATATCGGTCCTCGTAGATCCAATGGCCATCCTTGTTGAAGCGATTGCGGGATTTTCTCGGACCCGAGGAGATCTCCGTGACGGCATCAGAACCATCCGACTTATCGCAGCACTCAGAGCACTGCCAGCCATACTGCTTGGATTTCTTTGGCGGACGTGTGAGCGGTGGATTTAGGCAGCCCAGATGGTAGTGCAGGTTGCATGTGTCGCATTTGACCAAAAGGTGCTGATCCTTGCTCCGTTTGCAGATACCGCAGGCCACCGAAGGAGCCGCATCGACGGAAGCCGACGAGCTGCCGTGCTTGCCCTGTTTGGCCTGAGTACTGAGCATTCGTGAAGAGTCCAGCTTACTGCCCGGTGGGCCAAGGTGACCCAACGGAAAGCCCACGCCCATTTTCAGGGCAGCAGCTGTGGGCACTGAGATGGGTCGCTGGGGAGGAGTTGGCGTGCTCGTCTTGGGCGGCACCTCTGGCAATGGACGTGCTATGATATCCACGCTAGGTAGGGTCATGTTTGGTGCGATTTGGGCCAAAGAGGCGTGCAGCGACTTAATGCTAGTTAGCAGAGACTCCTTGGTGACCTTCACCGCCTTGAGTTCCTCCAATGCCGTGTCATACTGAGCCCTGAGCACGTCCTGATCCTTGGACAAAATGGCGTTTTGAGAGATAAGCTGCCGTTGTTGTTGACGGAAGTCATCCATGCGGACTATGCGGTCCATGTAGTAGGCCGTGAACTCAACACTGAATGCCGGTGCAATGTGCCACTTCTTTCGAATGTCTGTCAGGGCGTTGATATGTGCCTCCCGCTGCTCCAGATGCTGCACATCCACCGACATAATCTCCGCCTTGGCCAACAGGCGACGACAGGCGGAGGCCGAAGTGGTAAGCAGGCGCGACATCTTCTGAGTGGGCACCCACGGCGTAGGCTTGAGCTCCTTGTGCCGCGCATACTTGTGCTGGATCTTTTGGAGCTTGCGCTGTATGCGCGCTTGAGCTGGATTCGGATGGGGAGCCGGTGCCTCGCGTTCGCCAGCTGTCGTCTCCTTTTCCCTGGCTCGCTGCAACATGTTGAGACGCAGGGTGTGATAGTTGCGTCTCCGCTTTTTGATCATTTCCTTGTCCGAGTGCACCTTGCAGTGAGCGTAGAACGGATCGGCGGCATCGTCCTCATGGTGTGCTTCGATGAGGAATCCGGCCACCTGGGCGCAGGTCACGTGGAAATAGGTCTTGCACATGCCTGCATCACAACCGATACAAACTCCCGTACGGGCAAATAGGGCGTTATCGCAGAGGGAGCACACCTTGGCGCCCCATTTGCTGTACTGCATCTCGAATAGCGTGACCGAGGACAGTTGCTCCACCTCGCCGAAGGCCACGCCGGGCACATACAGCGCGCAGATGAGGTGCACCCACTTGCCCACGTCCGTCTCCTTGTAGATGCCGCCCTTATTGGGGCACAGTTCGCAGTCGGGTTCCGAAACTCCAGCGCGACAGGCCTCGCAGAACCACGGTTCGGTGGAGCAGGTGGAGTTTGTACTAGAGATGCTCACGTTGTCGCTGACCCCGTAGCATCCTTCGTGGACGGAAACGCCGCAGGAGTCGCACTCCACAATCTCGTTGACGTCATCGCTGCGTTCGCCGAGGCAGACGCAGCACATCCGTTTGGCCGGAGCTTTGGACAGCTGCAACGGTGGCCGGGGGACTCCTCCGGCCGTAGGAGCAGCTGCTCCATGGTCGCCGCCATTGATGCCGTTCTCCACGGGCGCAGGTTCCGATTCGGCCAGCAATTGGCGGAGCATTAGCGTTGAGTCTTCGCTCTCCGCGTCCGAATCCGAGTCAGAATCGGACTCACTACTGGCGTCGCTGCTCTCGTCGCCATCGCTCTCATCCTTTGATCCATCCGAGCAATTGTCGATGTCCGGCAGGAATTCGCTGTCCGAGGAGCTCTCGCCCAGGTCGAAGTCCAGCAGAGCCTGCGTGGTGATCTTCGGCTGGCGCGCTCGCTTCATGGTTAAGCAGACAACCGGAATTTATCCGCAATTTTATCACAATTTTTTTACGGAAAATTATCGACTGCCGATATGTCATAGAGATGGACTTGTATTCCAGGTATGGTGTTATCGACCAAAACTTATTTCAAATTAAGAGGTACATTTAAATTTTGAGTAGTTTTACATATATTTATTAAAATATGTGCCAATTTTAATTTAAAATAATTAAAATTAAAAATATCAAATTCTGTAAAAGAATATTGTAAATGTATTTTATATGGTTTGCAATATTTGTGAGGATAAAGGTAAAAACAGGGAGGTGATTTCCCAAAGTAAACAAAGAATTAAGATAACGCTAAGAGACGGGCTCATGTATTTTCCGATAATAACTAAGCTATAATTAGAGAAGGTTGCGTTCAGTTCAGCGGCCTAAAAGACCTCCAGCTGTTCAATGGGCAGCCACTTGGAGCTCTCCAGGGCGTCGTACAGCCGGCGATCGGCGTCGATGGCCTCGCGGTTCAACTTGTCCACGTCCAGGACGAACTTGTGCTCCACCAGTCCGTATTCATCGTCAGCTCCATTGGCGGCCGTCGCGGTTTGCTGCTGCTGTTCGTACTGAGCGCTACGTTGAGCGCTCCAGGCTTCTGCGTGCTGGGCTAGGGTCTGTGGATTGGAGTGCGACTGCGACATGGCCTGCTGGTAGTAAGCAGCTGCATCTGTGATCGAAGGTCCAGCCTGCTCGTAGTAGCCCTGCCAGGCTTGATATCCCTGCCAATAGGTGCTGCTGGGGTCGTAGTACTGTGAGTAGTCTGTTCCTCCGGCCGTGGAGGCACTTGTTCCGGAGCCACCATAGCCATAGTTTGTGTTTCCTTCTCCCAGGGCAGAGCCCAACTCGGACTTTGGCTTGGGCACAGCATTGCAGATCTTGATGGGTTTGCTGCCCAGTCCGATGTAGCCGTTCATGTCGTACAGCGCCGACTTTTGCTCATCCTCGATGCCGAAACGCACAAAGCCGTAGCCCTTCGAGAAGCCCAGGCTGTCCAGGATCACCTTGGCGGTCTTGATGGAGGTGAACTTGCTGGAGAAGACCTTGTACAGCTGGTAGTCATCCACATCCGAGCTGAGGTCGCCCACCCAGACGCTGAATTCGCGCTCGTTGCCAGGCAGTTTGTACGAGTTGCTGGCTGAGTTCAGGCGGAAACGCACGATGGGATTGGTGCCGGGAATGGGCTTTCCGTTCAGCTTGTGCATCGCGTCCAGCGCATGGTCATCCGATATGAAGTTGACGAAGCAGTAGCCGGCCGGTTCGCCGGTGTACTTGTTGCGCATCAGGCGCACGGTGGTGGGATCCTCGCCCATCTTCCGGAAAGCGGCGATTATGAAGTTTTCGGTCATGTAGGATTCCAGCTGAAATGGCCATTTGGCAATTGAAGATCATGTTTGTAGGGCGACACACAATGCTACTCACGCTTCCCATCCATAGTTGACAATGTACAGAGGCCATGGCTGCTTAAGTACTGTGTTTTCTGTCGTTTAAATCAACACAACAAACGTAAATATAAAAAATATTCTCCTTTTTTTCTAACGAGCAGGCTAGTGATGTGGAAAAATTCGATGTTTCTTTGGCATCGATGTTTAACGATATATTGTTAAGGTACAATGAAACAGTTGCCGCCCTGGTTTAAGCTATGTTTTCCACCTTGGTTGGTGTCTTTGGTGGTTTGGGTATTCACTAAATATAAGTAATTTAGTTTAAGTTAAAAATAAAATAAAAGTTAATTTAAAGGCAGTTACTATTCAAATCCGTTTTCTTTTACACCTACAATTAATCAAAACTTTAAAAGTACATACATTAAAATTTAATTTCCTATGAAATCACTGTTTTTCCAAGCGTTTTGTATATCTTAAAAAACCCCCTTTTCAACCATTTTTAAAAAACAATAATACCAATACACAATCCAAGGGTTATTGACAACCCTGTGCAGTAACGACATTTCCATAGACTTTAGTTTCTAATCATTTCAAATTCAAATCAGTTTTGGCCGAAATGCGTATTACTCTGTCCCGGTTGGCCAGTTTTACTCCAAAACTGAAGGAGCTGCGGATCATACTGGATCCAAAAGGGGCGGCCTCCAAGGGAGCTAGGTAAAATCGACACCTCCCCCTTTTAAATTATATAATTCACCCTTGAACAACGTTACTTTATAGGGAATATGTGGAAAGATTCTATCCCAACCTAAAGAAAAACAATCCAGACCTTCCAATCCTAGTGCGTGAATGCTCCGGCGTCCAGCCGCGACTCTACGCCCGCTATGGTGAGTTCAAAAATGGAAAATATATGTTTTTAAGCTTAAAATCCTCCACTTAATCTCCGCCAGGCAACGGCAAAGAGGTCTCCCTATCACTGGCCAACCAGGAAGCTCCCGACATACACAAAAACCTGGAAGCAGTTGGCAAATAGATCTTACGCGTAGGAAACTATTATTTTAGGCGGCAATAAATACGTATATTCACAATTACGTGTATATTAAGTAACACATTACACTTAAAATCTTTCGCTTGGTAGGTACGTTAATTTCCAGTTATAGCAATAGCATATAAAATCAGCTCTTAAGCTCAATCCTTGAAGGGGGGCAGACCGAACAGCTCCGGTTTGAAATCCGCCAGGGAACCCAGTACCTGGGTGGCGTGGGAGGTCTTCTCCTGCGACAGCCGCGGATCCGGCACCATGACCACCTGCATTCCAGCGCTATTGCCCGCCGTTACGCCATTCGGCGAATCCTCGAATACCAAACAGTCGGAGGCTTTGGGCGGCACAGCGAATCTGGAGGCGGCCACCAGGAAAATGTCCGGTGCCGGCTTGCCGTTAGCCACCTCCTTGTCCGTGGAGCCACACACCTTGTGGTTGAACAGGCTGAACAGTTCCCGGTGCTGGTTGCTCTTCAGCTCGACCATGTCGGCGCCGGAGCTGGTGGCCAGGCAAAAGGGCACCTTGTTGGCATGCAGATGACGCAGCAGGCGCTCAGCACCTAAAATATGGAATGCAAATAAGATTAATGACAAGCTTTGGACAGTTGGATAAGCAATATATAGAGCGCAGGAGGTATTTATAAAGGGGAAAAGCCGATTAGTGTGTTCTGGACGTGGTGCTAACCTTCCAGCAGGGGAACGTTGTGAAGCCGCTCGTGGCACATTTGCGTGTACCGCTTGAGGAAGTCTGTTGTCGTGATGGGCAGCTGGCACTCGGTGATGGCTATCTCCGCCGAGCGCTGCTCCGTGGTGCCCATGACCCGGAATCGCACGTCCACCGGATACGGACGGCCGAAGGAGGCGGCTATTTGCCGGGTGACCTCCTCGTATATCCGCTCCGTGTCTGAAACGTGACGGCAAAGCGAGAACGGGGATTAGTACCTGGCATCAACTGGGCGTTCCGCATCAGGATCTCCGCATTGGCGCGCTGCTGACGGGCGTACTCCTCCCACGAAATGGGCAGATCGAAGTGTTCGACCATGAACCTGGACAGCGGCTCCGTCTGCAGGCCCATGACCTGTTCCTTGACCTCGAAGGGATACGCCTTGCCGTACGGCTCGAGGATCATTTCGGTGGCCACCGTATAGAGGCGTTCGGTGTCTGTTCGGCAAACAGTTAACACAAAAAGCAGACTCAAGCACGGGACCACTCACCCAGCAGCAATCCGTCCATGTCGAAGATGCAGTGCGTCACCTTTCGCAGCACTTTACTGGTCATCTTGAGGTTGTTTCTCGGTTATGTAATGGCAAACAGGTAGACAAGGTCGCCGCTGCAACACAGAGGTCATAATTGAGTCACTATTTCAGCTGGAACTGGAGCATCCCCCGCCCACTCGCGCATGTCCCCCACTTTGACCACACTTCCTGGATTGTTTGCCTCTTGTTCGGTCGTGTCCTTGACCGAATGTCGTCGCTTTCCTGGCAGTGGGGTCAAAGATAAGGACTGCCCATAACTGTACGGCCTTGACCTACACGTAATCCTCTTCCGCCTTTGGCAATCGCGTATCGAATGTTTTTTTCCGCCTTGCTTTCCGAATTTTTCCGCGATTGCGAGCTTTTAGAGGTGGAGAGGTTCTTCAAACATCGGTAACAGATGTTTAGGGAGGAGTAATCGATGTTTTCCTTTAAAATGTTATAATTACCCTTTTCAATTGTTGATACTAGTTTTTCTAAACCAGAATATAGTGTGGCCAAAAATATATTATAAATAATTTTTTTTATTTCTACATAGAAAACATGGATGTTTTCCCACCTCTATTGCGAGCTTTTCTTATTTTAAAAATCGTCCCTTCAAATTTTGAACTGATAATACCATATTGCTAAAGTATTAGATAACATAGTAAAAGTATATCGACCAAACATTGAAAACAATTATTTTTTGCTAATAAATTATCTTGACTCAAGCCACAGATCAGAAATCCCAACATAGCCAGAACTATTTTAGCAAAATTATCTCCAATAGGAGTTTCTCCAATATTTCCTATGGATAACTATACATAGAAATCGACATCAACTTAGAGAAAAGTGCCTGCGAAACGGGCCCAAAAGCTTTCAGTAAACATCACAGTTTTTAGGAATAGCAGATACTTGTTTTTCTTTTAAATTTATTAAAAAACAAATACATTTTAGATGGTCGAATGTAGTCCACATGCTTTTTTTCTGTTGAAGGGGATCTGCAAGGGAAACAAAGGAAATTAGGCAATGGAAATAATAAAACATTGACTTTGAGAGGAGTCAAGGCACATTTGATGTACGACAATAGCTTACCTTAACTTAGGCGCTCAGCAAGCACACACCGCCGGCCTTCTTGATCTTGTCCTCAGCCTTCTTGGAGAAGTACTTGGCCTTCACGATGACGGGGCGGGCGGGCAGGTGACCACGGCCCAGCAGCTTGTAGTAGCCCTGTTGAGAGAAGATAAGAACATTCGTTAGTGATAGCTCACAGGGGTTAAACAACAATGCACATCCTCTACAGAAGCTGCTGGCTTTGATCTGAAAGGCTGTCCTCTACACGGTGAGAGCAATTGTACGGTCGCATTCTGTCCGCCCATCGCCTTAGGTGTCTCTTCATGTTCAAAGCAGCAGCAGGAGCAGAATCAGGAGTGGCAAGCAGCTGGGGAAACTTACGAATTTAACCAAGTCGATGACGGGAGCCTTGGTGCTCTTCTCCTTCTCCAACTCGGCGAACTTGTCGGCTCCGACCAGGGACCACAGCTTGTCCAGGTTAATCTCGGGCCTGAACTTGTGCTGGCGGCGCAGATGGAAGTTCCTCATACCAACCTTACCGAAGTAACCGGGATGGTATTTGTCGAAGTTGATGCGGTGGTGGTGCATGCCACCAGCGTTACCGCGACCTCCGGGATGCTTGCGGTGCTTGCCGATACGGCCGTGACCGTGGCTGACATGACCACGCAGCTTCCTGGTCTTCTTCCGCTTGATATTCGACTGTAAGGGAGAGCAGAACAGAAACGTGTTTTCATTCACCAATCCTCACATTTTTCACCCACGTGCTGGAGGTTATGTTTACGTGCAGCGTTTGCTGCTCTGTATATCCTCACTTTGGCCTTGCGGTCGGCGGGCAGGCAAGCTGCTTCACATTTGGACAACTCTTCTGTTCATCTCGCTGCGTTTACCTGCCCACAAACCACATTTTAAGTGCACCACATTTACCGACGTCCACTCACCATCTTCAAATTTTTTGGAAAGAAAGAAGCGAAGTTGGCTGCGGTTGTAGAGGTGGGACCGAAGGCGATAGTTGTTCGATACTATCGATATTTCCAGAACATCGATGTCTACACAGAAAATATCGAATGTGTTTGGGGCTATCAAATAAAATAAGTTGAATAAAAACAAGGTTATAATAGTAAATATTATAGAGATCAAGGTAATTAAGAAAATGTAAATAAGACTTTTAAGAACTTTTTGCGTGTAGCTGGTAAAAAAAATAAACAAAATCATATTTAGGAGCCGATATGTATTCGATACATGGCTCAGAGCACCCCTGAGCAGGACTGTTAAGTTAACAGTCGCTGTTAAGCACACCGATGTCGCCAATAATTCAAATATGTACTTTTTAATTTGATTGGTGCTTTATATTTAACATATTAGATTTCCTCCACTAGCTTAAATCGCTGGTGCTGATTTTCGGGAATAACATTGAAGAACTTCTTATAGATGGTCTGGTCCTGGCGGCCGGCGTAGTTCCGCTGAATCCAGCTGTGGTCCCAGTTGGGGTCGATTGGCTCGCAGGTGACATATACTTTGCCGTGCTCCATGGCGAACAGGGTTCCATTGCGGCCAAAGCCCACCTGTAAGATAAATTCAAAATGGGTATATAAAGGCCAGTACAACTCCTTGAACTGCTACATACATTTAAGCCCGGATGGAAGCGCGTGGTGAGTTGGGTGGCCAGAATTGTGCCCTCAGAGACGTGGTGTCCATCCTGGACGCGCCATCCGCGATGTTTTGGTCTCGCATGTCCCTTCTTGTTCCTCGTACTTCCACCGGTTTTCTTACTGGCATTGCGCACGGTGGCTAAAATGGGAATTCATTAGTTGCCAATATCTTTTTACGGCATATTCTTACTCATCAGTGGCTGGTCCGCCTTCAGGCATGTCATTGTAAGTTTTTGCATTATATTAAACGACATTTTTGGGCTTTTATTTCAGTAACGAGGTTTGTTTATGCAATTTTTTATGAAGACCTGGTGTGGCCAGCGGAAGTGGAGCACAAATTTACGAAGGGGCTCCACTTAACAGAATGTTATCCACTGTTGCCAACTGTCGGTTTTAAAATGTAGCTAAGTTTAATAGCTATTTATCTGTATTCAAACCAAATATATATTTTTTGCCCGTAAATTTTTATTATCCTTTTAGTAAAAAAAGCAATTAAACATTGTTCCCCAAAAAAGATTCTTTTAAATTATGATACTATAGAGACAGAAATCTGGCTACAAAATAGCTGAACTAACATCCCTGCTGTAAGCGGGGGCGGATTGTGGAATTTTGAACCTTTTTCAGTGGGGTTACACTCGCCGGCGAAAATATTAATTGTTTGTTTTTTCCGGCATTAGCATTAAGTTTAAAGTTTAAATTTAGTATGACGACGTGGGGCAATATATGCCGCATCTGCAGCAGCCCCGCAGACTATGAGATTTTCGCCAAGATTCCCACATACTTGCACGGCTCCACAAACGAGTTCCTCAACTGGCAGAAGCCCATAAACATTTTGCTCGAGGAGACGACGGGCCTAAAGGTAGGTGATTCCTTTCCCTGGCATCCAGTTCTATAGATTACCTTTTCGTAGAACTCCACTGACGACGGCCTGCCGCGGAACATATGTGCTCCATGCATCTCGTATCTCAAGCACGCCGTAACATTCCGGGAGCAGTGCATCAAGAATGCCCTCAGTCTGAAGCTGGCTGAGCTCTACCAGCAAAAGAGGGTCAACATCTCGGATGCGAACAAAATAGACAAGGAGAGCGCCCTTTTCACTGCCGAGGATCTGCGCTTCGTGGAGCAGAGACCCGTGCACAACATTCTCCTGAACAACAGCAGCTCCAAACTGGAGTCCACCAAGGACAAGGTGCACAAGCGACTGCTCAACCAAGCGGCTCCCGAACTGAGCGGCAGTTCGGAGCAGAGGATCCAGTACCTAAACATACTGTTCAACAAGCACAATACCATGCCAAGGCACTCCCGGGATGGAGAACTGCCCACAGGCAGCGGCCAAAACGAGGATGAGGAGGATTACTATGCGGTGGCCAGCTCCAGCGATGATAACGAGGAAGCGGCTCTGCTGCGTAAGCACAAGAACTGCTACAACTACAGCGAGACCAACTTCGAGGAAGACGATCCCATGGAGCAGGACCAGTTGCAACTGCGCGACATCAAGGTCAATATTCCCGAGCCCATGTGGAAGGAGCGCAAGTGCCCTGCCTGTTCCAAGCGCTTTATGTTCGAGGAGTCGCAGCAGTCGCATCTGGACAACTGCGTGGAGTACCAGTTCGTCACGTTTGTTAACGAGGTGACAAAACTTATGGATATTAGGCGGCAGAAAATGGTGTCGCCGCACGAGTTCATCCGCCGCATGATATTCGCCCTGCACAAGACCTGCACCTGGCTGCAGGAACATTCCATAGACTCGCTTCTGGCCGAAAAGATCAATCAAGTGAAGGTGTCCAACGGCGAGAAGTCGACTGAGGTGACAATTCCTGCAGATATTCCCGATCTCCGCTCGGTAGAGGAACAGCCTTTTGCCCTGTTTGACTTTGTAAGCGGCACGACCACTCCGATTACGGAGGAGAATAATGTTCTGTACGCCATTGAGCGTTCAGAAAGCCGCAACTCGCAGAGTACGCCCACGGTAAAGAAACCCATTCCCATTCGGGGAGTGGCCGCGGGATCATCGCTGGGTCTGGGTCTAGGCCTGGACAAGCACAAGGAGCGGGCCACGTTCCTGGAGAAACTGCAACGGGCAGTAGTCTCTCCTGGCACGGTTTCCCAGGGCAGTGCCCCCATATTCTCAGCCCGATGCGGGCAGTGCAATTTAGTATTCGACTCGGTCTCAGAACTGGAGGTCCACAATCATAATGTCCATAGGGGCAGTGTCGCCGACGACGAAGCCAAGAGGCGTGAAATAATAGCCCTCTTCGAAGATGACATCTAAGTTATCCAAAGAACTGTTTTTTGATGCAGGGTGGCTGATTATATTTAAATTAATAGTCCCGCCAGCCACTTTGTATCTCTGTGTTTTGTCAAATTGTATTTGTTTATTATTTATTTATTTTATTTTGTTTCCTATTAGGGGTTTACCCATGCTTAGCTATAATCCATGTTCATTTTACATTCTCATGTACTCAAGTACTTTCTTTTATAAGCATAATCAGACCAATAAAGAGATTCGCAAGACTTTATCATAGCCTATGCGTATATTTGCAAACTATCCAATATCATATTGGAGTCTGAAAGGTTTAAGTGGAGAAAATTCCTGAGCAAACGTACCAAATCCAGGTTGAGTTGAGAGTCTCGCTTGGCGAAGAGGTGATTTAGGGCTTTTACAAAGTTCTGTGGCTCTGCTAGTCCACCCAATAGTCGTGGGTCACCTTTTGCCACCAGATTGGCCATCACACGGACTCCATAGATCAGACAAAGTTTGTCCACCGATGAGGAAACGGTGGCTTCGAAGAAATGCACCAGGCATTCGGCTTGTTTGGTTCCTAGCTTGAGATCCTGTCCAACAATTTCCAGTTGGTGTACTATGTACATGAAGTATTCGCTAGCGGGATCCTCCGGCTTCTTCTGGTGCAGGTTTTGGGCTATGTACCGCCGGTCATCGGCGCTCACATGCTGCCGGCAGTGGGTGGCCACCAGGTAAAGGCAGATGCCTGCATCTGTTTGGCAGCCATTGGGCTCGCTGTACAGCCGCCACAACTTGGGCACCAGTTGCATTTGCAACAAGATCCTGCCAGCCTTATCGCAGGTGGCCAGGATGTTGGCCAAGGTCCAAAGGCAGCTGCGCTTCAGGCGTTCCTCCTTGCCATCGAGGTATGTGACCATGTAGCTGCCCGCCAAACTCACAATCTTTTCAGAGACATGAGCCTCGCCCAGGGAAAGATTACACAGGCACTCAACGGCATCTATGTGGCGCTGAATGTGAGGCCCTGAAAGTAAAGTTCCTTTATGAGGCAAGAATACAAGTGCTGAAGGATAATAAACTGACCAGTGAGCTCCTTTACCAGAACTTGAATAGCGCCCGGAATGATTGCAAAGGCGTTGATATTGTCGTTGCCTTGGAGGAAGGCCAGTGACAGGCGGCACAGATCCTCGGAGGTGGCATGCTTGCGGCGCTTGATCCTGCCGGCCATCCCAGTAACGTCCTTGGTGCCCAGGCTCTCCAGCGCCGCCACCTCCTCCTTCACTTGTCCCAGTCCAATGCGCAATGCGTCTTTTGCTTTTATGCGGCACTCAAGGCGTTGATCCCGGGCATATCCTCGTATCTTGCTTCGGAGGAGGATATTCTCCACAGGAGTCGTGACTGAGTCCATTTGTTTTAATTTAAAAAGAATTTAATGAAATTTATTTCAAGTAACCAATAATTCGATATATCTAAGATATCGATAACAATAACATTTGGTGGGGCGTTTTATAGGGTGGTTAGTGCTTTTTTCTCAGCTGTAAAAATTGTAAACAAAAAAATTTGGTGAGCGTAGTTTTTTTATTATTTATACCAATTGGAGTAAATCTAAGTACTTAATTTCAGGGGCGATGGCCTTGTGTCGCGTTTGCAATCAGAGTCCTGGATCCCTGATAAACATATTCGATGGGACGGCGGAATTGAGCTTAATTGTTTCCCATTACACTGGCTTAGAAGTTCGACAAGGAGATTCATTTCCAGAGACCATTTGCTCGATGTGCCTGGAGGATGCACGGAATTCATATGGTAGCGGTGACCAGCCCCAGGAGGAGGTCTTTGAAATCTTGGAATTCCATGATGAGGAAGGGCTTCTTGAGGAGGACCCATTGGAAGAACGATACTGTCAAGTAAAGAATGAGGAGCTTGTGGATGATTTGCTGGAGGAGGAGGTTTTCAAAATACCGGACTGCGAGGAATCAACTGATAATGAACAATTCCAAGTAAAAAAAGAAAGGGTCGAGGAATCTGAATCAACTGTCAACAAGTTTCCACCGCTTCCTGTCCAGATAAAAAACGAGCCAATTGAAAATGAACTGTCCGATGAAGACCTCAGTCAGGAATCCGAAAGTATTACTTCTCAATCGAATTGCCTGGTGAAGAACGAACCAATTGAAGATGATCAATTCGAAGATGAAGTCTCCACGATTGCAGACTTTGCTGTTGATCAAAAAAAGGTTCATAAGCACAAGTGCTCTCGCTGTCATAAGTCCTTTCGTTTCTCCCACGACCTCAAGAGACACATTCGGATCCACGGGTCTTATCGATGTGTTACCTGCGATAAGACTTTTACATCACAGTCATCTCTGGACTCTCACGTCATGACTCACGAGGAAAGACCATTCGGCTGTACCTTTTGCTCAAAGTATTTTACGGAAGATTCCAGGCTTCAGGAGCACATTTCGACCCACTTGCGACCACATAAGTGCGGTGACTGTCCAAAGTCCTTTCTTTCGGCGCACGACCTTAAGAGACACATGCGGATTCACACGGGGGAACGACCCTACTTTTGTAAGCACTGCCCGAAGACCTTTTCGGATAGGACTTCCTTGACGTCGCATCTGAGGGCCCACAACGGGGAGCGGCCCTACAAGTGCACCGAATGCCCAATGTCCTTTACGCAGCAGTGCAATCTTCAGCGGCACAAGCGCTGCCACACGGGAGAAAGACCCTTCAAGTGCATCTACTGCCCGAAGTCCTTTACACAACACTCTAACCTGGGCCTGCACATGCAAGCTCATTCTGGAGAGCGGTTCAATTGCACCATATGTCCCAAGTCCTTTGCCTACAATAACGACCTAAAACGACACCTTCGCACCCACTCTGAGGACAAAATCCAGTGTTCCTTGTGTCCGAAATTATTTGCAACCAAATCAAATCTTACTAAACACGTAGTAAGACTACATGCAAGTCGTGCAAATGAATAGTTGTAATAGATTTTAACTAGGACAATGTAAATATTTATAAGACTAATTTTATTAAATAACCAAAATTTTCTGAGAACAACAAATTTGTTTTTCTTCGTAATTATGTTAACGAAAATGCTTCGAAATCAAAATTCAATGTACGATATTTTGACAACCAAATAATTCGTATAAGGAATTTTTAAGTTATTAATTATTTAAAACTATTAAAACCTGGCGATAGTTTAATAAATTTAAAATATCGATATTTCTCAGCTGTTATGCGATTACCATCCCTAAAGGCATCACAGGGTGGCTAGTGTCTTAGTATCAGTAAAGATGTCCAGCAAAAACAGGTTAGCAATTTTGTATAATTAAGCTTGGGATTATTTTAAAACATTATATTTCAGGAAAGAACTGTGTCGCGTTTGCTTTAAGAAAACATATCGTGCTATAAATATATTCGACAAGCGACCCGATGTTCTGGATGTAATTTCACAATACTCTGGCCATGAAGTTAATAGAGGAGATTCATTACCTGAATTTGTATGCCGATTTTGCCTGGCGGATGCGATTGCCTTTCAAGCAAATCAGCAGACCCTCGAGGAAAGTAACCCTACGGAGGCGGAAGTCTATGAAATTGCCGAGTTCCCAGACAATGGCGAGGTCCCGGAGCAGAACTCATTACCAGAAGAATATTTTGAAATTTTTGAATACACAGACGAGAATGAAGAAGTAGTGGAATGCATAATGCAGGATTCCCAGGTGGAAGAGTCGACTGCAAACGAAGGAGAGGAGGCGTATATAGACATTACCCAGCCCCGTCTCAAAGGAAGGAAAGACTTTCCAAGTGATAATGAAGCATTCCAGGAGTCGTCTAGTAATATTGGTTCCTTAAACTGCCAAGTAATCAACGAGCCAATCGAAGATAACTTACTTGAGGATGAAGTCGGCACAGAACCAAATGAGCAATCACAAACCAAGATGCACAAAGATCAACCGCTCGGTATTGATCATATCCCGGAGCCCTTATCGGATGGACGCACCCAAGAGAAGGATGGGCTCATCAATTGTCCTGATTGCCCAAAGACCTTCAAAACACAGTTATGTTTTCTGAAACACTCCGCCATTCATGCGCGCTCTTACACGCCACCGGCTTACTTCAGGTGTTCCTTCTGCATGAAGTTCTTTCAGCAGCAGTCCGAACTGGATCTACACATGCTGGACCACTCTGGAGGGAGGTTTGATTGCAATTTTTGCTCCAAATCGTTTACCGTGGAGAACGATTTTAAACATCATAGGCAACTTTACCACTTTTTGGACGCAAAGAATGATGAGCCTTACCAGTGTCCCGATTGCCCGAAGAGCTACAAGAGATGGGGGCCTTTTCAGAATCACAGGAAAGTTCACGGTATGGCACAGGAAGTACTTCAGGTGGCGTCCAGTAATATTGATTCACCCAACGTGCAAGTTGTCAACGAGCCAATCGAAGATGACTTAATCGTGGATCAAGTCGGCACAGTAACAAATGAGCAATCACAAACTCCTAAGGAGTTGCCTGCCACCTACAAGAGACGGGGCCCGTTTCAAAATCACAGAAGAGTTCACGGCGTAGCACAGGAAGTTCTAAAGGTGGCGTCCAGTAATATTGATTCATCCAACTGCCAAGTTGTCAACGAGCCGATCGAAGATGACTTAACCGTGGATCAAGTCGGCACAGTACCAAATGAGCAAATACAAACTCCTAAGAAGTTGCCAGCCAAATACAAGAGAAATGGCTCTTTTCAGAATCACAGGAGAATTCGCGGCGTAGCACAGGAAGTACTTCAGGTGGCGTCCAGTAATATTGATTCACTCAACTGCCAAGTTGTCAGCGAGCCAATCGAAGATGACTTAATCGTGGATCAAGTTGGGACAGAACCAAATGAGCCATCCCAAACTTCTCAGGAGTTGCCCGCCACGACGTTCGAGGGCGATAAGCCATTCCGGTGTAACATGTGCCCGAAGTCCTTTTATAAATGGATCTATCTTAAGAGACACATGACCGTTCACAATAACCCTCTGCAACCAGTTTACTTCAGATGTTCCGTCTGCCTGGACACCTTTAAGAAGAAGGCCGATATGGACCTGCACATGGAAGGTCATACAGGACAGCTGTATGAATGTTCTGTTTGCACAGAGACTTTCACCTTTGAAAACGATCTGAAGCGACACAACCGCAGGCAGCACCATTTGAATCCATACCAGTGTCCCCTCTGCCCACTATCTTATACGGGTAAAACTTATCTTGAATCTCACCTCGTTTCCCACGGTGTCAGTGTTAAAAATAAAATGACATAATCCGAAGTTAGCTAATAATTATAACTAAATTTTGGCTTTTTTTTACTCTTAATCTTAAATTTTTTTGTGTACTTTGCTTGATTGATAAATTAATTTAAATTTGGAGTTTCGATCATAAATCGATAGACCATGTGGCGCTGAGCACAGGGTGGCTTGTGCACTCTGCCCATTGTAAACAAACGCCTATAGTAAGGCTTTCTTATATTTTTACAATAAACCAAAGGAATGAGCGGATTGCTGCTCATAGCCAGAAAAATAATTGGATAAAACGGCAAAGTTCCTCTAGATATGTAAGGATCGCTGTGACAGCGATAAAATACCAAGAAAAGTCAAGCGCATAAACAAAACAGCAGGTACGCAATAAGATTTCTGGGAAAGTATTGGTTGTTTATTATTTCTTCTCATAGAGGCCATGGAGCAAATCTGTCGTGTTTGTCTGGGAAGATCGGATTATTTGGTGAACATCTTCGATGCCAGGCGAAAGACCCGAGTTTCCATTGCTGAGATGATTGCCCAGTGTACTGGTTTTGAAGTCAAACGTGGCGACTTGTTACCGGAAATGATATGTCCACCGTGTTTGGAGGATGCCAAGAATGCATTTTCCATAAGGCAAACCTGCGAGAGGAGTCACCAGTTCTACTGCAAAGTTCGGGATGATGGAATCGAGGAGGCATTGTGCACCTTGCTCGATGAAGAGGACTGGGATTCTTCGGAATATGAAGAGAAGTGGAAACATTCTCCATCCGATGATGATCTCCATGACGATGACGAAATCGACAGGAAGGCGGTCTCATTTGAATGTCGGGAATGCCAGAAGATCTTTCAACGAAAGGGTTCCTGGCTGAGGCACATGAGAACGCACGTGGATGGACAATCCTTTCCTTGTATCTACTGCTCGCAGAACTTTAGATTTCGGGTCACTCTCAATGCCCACATGCGAACCCACAACTTGGCTAAGCCTTATGAGTGTTCCCACTGCTCAAAGTCCTTTGCCCAGAAGTCCACACTGCAGTCGCACGAAAGGACTCACACTGGCGAACGGCCGTATAAGTGTGCACAGTGCTCCAAGACCTTTATTAAATCAACAGATCTTCGCCGGCACATCCGCACCCACGGAGGGGAAAGGCCATACAAGTGTCCGGATTGCTCGAAAACCTTCACTAGGAAATCTCATCTCAAAAACCATCTCCTTAGTCACACGGGTGAACGACCGCACCAGTGTCCCCAATGCATATCGTCCTTTGCTTTAAAGCATCATCTCAACGAACACCTCCGCATCCACTCTGGAGTTCGTCCTTTTCAGTGCTCTTTGTGCTCCAAGTCGTTCCGTCTCAGCAGCACCCTTAAGGAACACAAGCACATACACAAAGCGGAAAGAACCTTAATGTGTCCCCACTGTTCTAGTTCCTTTAGGCAGAGAAAAACACTTACAAGACATATTCTCGAAATTCACGAACGAGCATGACTGTAAAATGGACCAAATTACTTTGTGAAGGAGATAAAAATAACATTTGTGTATTTTTAAGATTATAATATGAAGTTTTGAACAATATTTTTTGAAAAATATACAATGTATTACATTTGAAGTAGGCGGCTTCGTATGAAATAATTATTTCGGGATAATAAATTTAATCCTTGTAATGGTTTTTCTGTAAATAAAGTTAATATACTTATAGGTGTTAAAAACTATAATTATTAAAAACTGGCGTATAATTAGAATTTAAAATATCTATTATCTATTAATCGGATCCAATTTTTCGATATCACGCTGTCATCACTTGGCGTTTTTCGCATCTCTAAGTCATCTGATCAGCTGATGAATGTTTTTGTGGGAGCGGCCTCACGGAATCCGAAATCAAACAAGAGCCACGGAAAAGTGAGGAAAAATGAGCAATGACACCCCGAATATAGTCTTTAATCCCCTGATAAGCTGCATTCAGAAGGTGGTGCTCTACGAGACGCGAGCGGTAAGGAATCTCCACCAGCAAAGCTTTCTCCCTGCTAACTTATCTAGTCCCATTTAATCACAGCGCCTCTATTTGGTGGGCAGCAACAACAGGGAGACCCGGTTCCGCCTCCTGACCATAGATCGGCTGGCCCACAACCGATTGAGCATCGAGGAGAATGCCAACGAGTTCAACAACTTGGAGATACGCCGCTTTGTGGCCTCCCTCACGGGATCGCCCAAGGTAACGTCCGCCTACGGAGTCCTGGGATTCGTTCGCTTCCTCGAGGGCTACTACCTGCTGCTGGTGACCAAGCGCAAGTGCTGCGCCCACATTGGCCGCCACCTGGTCTACACCATCAAGGACACGGTGATGGTGCGCGTGAACGAGGTGACCTCCCAGCGTCCACCGCATCCGCACGAGGATCGCTACAAGCGTATGTTCCAGAACATCGATTTGCGCAGCAACTTCTACTTCTCGTACTCTTACGACTTGACGCGTACGCTGCAGTACAACGAATCGCCTCCTCGCTTTGTGGGTGCCAAGGTGGACCTGGACCGGGACGAACCTCTTCCTGACTGGAACACGCTGACCAACAACGTGGCCAAGGCCCACGAGCGTGTGGACTACGCCTTTCGCAGCGACTCGCGCAAGAGGTTCGTGTGGAACGCCTACCTGCTGCAACCCATGGAGGGCATCATGCTGAAGGACTGGCTCCTGGAGGTCACACACGGCTTTGTCAGCCAATCCTGCATCAGCATCTTCGGGCGGCACGTTAATGTTTGCCTGGTAGCCCGCAGGAGTTCACGTTTCGCCGGCACACGTTTTCTCAAACGAGGAGCCAATTTTCAAGGCGATGTGGCCAACGAAGTGGAGACGGAGCAGATTGTAAGCGATGGTCAGAGAATGTGCGCCTTCACCCAAATGCGGGGATCAATACCGTCGCACTGGTCTCAGGATATCAGCAAAATGGTGCCCAAGCCGCAGATTCAGCTGGACATTTGCGATCCTTATGCGCAGACCCCATCGTTGCACTTTGAACGCCTGCTCTTCCATTACGGGGCGCCGCTTATAATGCTTAATCTTGTAAAGAAGCGCGAGCGACGCAAGCATGAGTCGATCATCTCCAAGGAGCTGGAGTACAGTATTCGCTATCTCAATCAATTCCTACCGCCGCCGCACCGCATGAAGCACATCCACTTCGATATGGCGCGACAGAGTCGCCTCAGCGGCGGCAATGTCATGGAACAATTGGCCATTCATGCAGAGAGCATTGTTCAGATGACGGGCATGTTCTTTAAGGCGGCGGGCAGTGAACCGGGCTTGCAGACTGGGATCGTACGCACTAACTGCGTGGACTGTTTGGATCGCACCAACTCGGCTCAGTTTGCTATTGGAAAATGTGCCTTGGGTCATCAGCTGGAGCGTCTGGGCTTCGTTAAGTCCGCCAAGCTGGAGTTTGACTCGGATTGCGTGACCATGCTGGAGAACCTGTATGAGGAGCATGGCGATACACTGGCTTTGCAGTACGGAGGCTCGCAGCTGGTGCACAGGATCAAAACATACCGGAAGACGGCTCCTTGGGGATCCCAGGGAAGCGATGTAATGCAAACCCTCAGTCGCTACTACAGCAACACGTTTAGCGACACCGAAAAGCAGCACAGCATCAACTTGTTCTTGGGCATTTACAAACCCAGTTTGACAAAGCGTGAGTCATAAAAACCTTGGTGATTAAACCAATTTTTAAAGGTCCTCTTTCCCGCAGAGGGTCAACCCATATGGGAGCTGCAGACGGACTACGACATGCACAATGCCTTCGTCCCAAGAGCGGACAGCAAGCCCCTCACCGACTGGGTGCGCCATAAGGTGAGGGAGTGCCTGCCCTACTCGTGTGCAGACTCAAATAAACTAGTCAAGGAGCTGTTTCGCGTGCACAGCAGCGGTCTGGAAATGATCGATGCCTATTCGAACTACCACCAGTCCTTCAAGTGGACGGACCTCAGTGAGCACATCGCTTTTGAGATCAGCCAGCTGGCCCTGCGATATATGCCCACTTTCCGCACAAACTACAGTCCATTCCAGCGGCAAATCCAGACCTCGCGTAAGGCCCGTCAGAATCCCTCGATGACGGGGCAAAGTTCCACGGGCTCGATGAACAGCAACTCCTCCAGCTCCAGCGAGGGCGATGACAGCTCCAGCGATGAGGAGTTGAGTGCCAGTTTTGCCGAAAAGGAAGCCAATCAGACGGAATCGACGGAACTTCCGGTTGCCACACTGGCCTCCGGCCTGCCCTCGATGGAGGAAATATACGGGTGCACCATCAGTCCGCCCTCCAAGCAAAGCATGGCTGTCTATAAGAAGTACGTACAGATGGGCAAGCTGTCCAGCGGAGGAGCGCGACCCGCCCAGACTGCCGTTGCCCAGCGCGATCAAGAGCTGGCCAAGATCATGCGGGGTATAACACTGCGTCCGCTCAGTGACTACGGCACTGACTCCTATCTCAGCGTGCGTACGCCGGTCGTTCCGCGGCAAAGCCTGCTTATCTATGCCGAGTACTGCCGCACTCGGAGCACCTTTAACGCCGTGCCGAAATTGGAGGAGTTCGATGTTCTTTATCAGTATGTGCAAAAGCTATAGCTTAATGTGATGGATATTTAATGTCCTCACATTTTGTTGTTCTCATGATGTTTTGAATATGTTATTTTATGTTATTTAAAAGAAAGCCATTTTAATCCAATCGTCTCGTTCTACAATTTATTTAAATACTTTAATTTCTGTTGGTTACTTACAAGGATGATTCGTTAAAAATACTCAGAAAAGGCTATTGTTGGAAGGAGTTTCCAACAGTTATTGGCCACTCGGCCCACCTGTATCCGCATGAGAGGATGAGGCGTGCATGGCGTTGTAGCCGGACTTCTGTCCGAGATGGAGCAGGTGGTGGTTGGTTGGCTTGTACACGGTGGCCATTTCCTGGGCCAGCATGAATTGCTCCTGCTCCGGAAAGTCGTGTTCGCAATGGTGTTCGCCGCAGATCTTGCACTCGTAGATGTTTGGTCTCAGCGTGTTTCGGATGCGCTGGAGAA